CGCTTGTCCTCTTACGGTTCTGGAGGTCAGAAGTCTGACCTGGTTTTACTGGGCTGAAGTCAAGGTGTCAGCAGGCTGCATTCCCTCTGGAGGCTGTATGGGAGAATCTATTTCCTTGCTTTTTCCAGCTTCCAGAGACGGCCTTCCTTTCTCTTCCAATCCAGCAATGTAGCATCTCCCTGACCCTGCTTCTGTTGTCTCAGCTCTTTCTCCGAACACAGCCCGGAAAGGGCTCTAGTTTTGTGAGCCTGTGCGAGTAGACGGGCCCAGGATAATCTCTCCGTCTCGAGATGAGCTGGTTAGCAACTCTGGTTCTGCCTACAGCCTTAATTCTCTTTGCCACATAACCTAACATAGTCACAGGTTCCCGGGACGTCCCGCGGACATCTTTAGGGACCATTGATCTGCCCACCAGAAGCAGCAACAGGGGAGGGAATTCCATCTGAAGTTCCTTGCTAATGCTTTTCACACAACTGCAATGCTTTTACCTAATGGGCCATAGTTGCCTGGAGATCAAAACTGTGACTGAGTCCCCTCCGTGTCCCCAGCGCCTGGCCCAGGGCTCAGCCCATTTGACATGTTCAGTGTTTGCCGACTGGAAGTTAGGGAGTGAAGTGTCGGTTGGCTGGAATGTTTAAATATCAACCTCTTGGCTCCCCTGAGAAAATGGAGCTTTGATGGTCGAAGTTTCAAGAAAGTGTTAAAAAATCAATTTTGTAGCACAATTGGGGTCTGATTGCCATTGTCTTGCTTTCTCACACTAAACCAGCTCTACGGTTAAAAAAAAAAACAAAACAAAACCAGAAAACAGGCATCTTCCATTATTTGACAGAAGTCGTCCAGATTTTTTTTCAGACAAAACAACAACAACAACAACAACAACAACAACAACAAAACAGCTCACATGCTTTTTTGTCCAGTCTACACGGGAACACAGCTGTATAGGAAATTCAAATGAACAAAAGAAAAAAAAAGCATGCAATAAAGCCTCGTGACTCCCAGAGCAACCGAGAACTGAATACTTCTCAAGCAATTTTTGTAAGATTAGTATTTAAACACACAGCGAGCCACTTCAGTTCCAACAAATCTGGAGAAATTAAACCTTGTTTCCAAGAAGTGCTCACTGAGCCTTCGATGCATTTTTTTCATCGCTGCAAAAGAAATAACTTGCACAACAACTGTGTCTCTTTAGTGGGACCCAGCGCCCATCAGCCAGCACCAAGTGGAAAATGAGTAGACCTGGGGTCCAGGTGGACGCCAAGGGCAGGACTCCCTGGCTACAGCTACAGTATGGTGCACGGAAAAAGGAGAGAAGCTCTTTCACTAGGCAGACAGAGTTGTCCAGAAACTGTCGGGTCTCGTGGAGTTCCGGCTCCAGCCATGACAGCCCCAGCTAAGCCAGTTCTCAGAGTTCAGTCTTCACCATGGCAACGGCTTGGGACACCTCCAACTTGCTGAACTGGAGATTTCAAAAGAAAGCAGCCCGGAGTCGAATCATGGTCTGTAAAGTGTTTCCCATATTTTACTCAGATGGCACCTCATCAGCAAAACCTTACAGAGTACTCAACCTCAGTTTCAAGAGCCTTCGGAATCCTGGTCAAAATGTCTCGATGTACATCACTTCATTTTCTCCCCTGAACAGGGCTGGCGGCCACACGGGGCTGGAATCAGAATCCAGTACCTACCACAGTGCTGGTACCTGACAGTAGCTCAATAAATGTTTACTCAGTCAGTCAGCTGGCGTCATTTTATAAGGGAAGAAACAGGCCCAGAGGGGTTTAGGGGGCTTCCCAAGAGTGCCCAGTGGGAGGCAGGGCGGGGCCTCTGGCCGCCTATTGCTTCTCCTATTCCACCACGAAGGCCTTCCAGATCCAACTCAGTAAAGGTCAGGAGGACCTTTTGCTCCTTTTCGACACACATTTGTTGAGCACCTACCCTAAACCAGACCTTTCCGCACCTCTTCCCCCGTTTGCGGTCTGCCTGGCTGGTTCCTTCAAGCCTTGGTTTTGACATTACCTCCTGAGCCCTCCCACGCCCACCCTGCGGCTTCCTCATGCCCATCACCCTCTACCACGTTCACCACTTGTCCCTTATCCCAATCTCTAATTATTTTGTGTGTGCATTTATTTATGGTTGGCCTGCTCTGACGGGAATAAAAGCTCTGTGAGGGCAGGGGGCCCCCGCCCAGACTTTCTGGGGACAGTCAGCCCATGGCAAGATGAGGGAGATGTGGCCACCGAAACAAAAAGCCAACATGGTCTCAGGCGCATTCATAAAAAAGTCTAGAACAACAGACTCCTGGTGCATGTCCAGAAGACAGGAAGAGAATGGGGCTGTTAGCTGGGGGGCAGAAAGACCCAGAAGACATACTACCAGCTCCTCTTTTCAAATGTCTACAGGCTGCGAGCGAACAGAGGGCACGGACTTGCCTTGCGCGTGTGGCCGGAAAGGGCTGAAGGGGAGGAAGTCACAGGGGCAGATTTGGCTTTGAGGTGCCCCTTGTTAAAATCGGTGGCCACTGCCTTCCACACGGACACGTAAGTGCTAGGAGGGTAGCCTGCGTCGATCTTATTCCTCGCTCTGTGTATATAGCATAGCACGTGGTATGTCTTGTCAGTAACTATTTGGATGAAGGTTGGTGGGAGGTCGATTACAGGTGGCGAGTTGTCACTGTTCACTCTGCCCAGAATGCTCCTCGTCCTCACCCCCCTTCATCTGGGTGACCCCGTGCTCAGCTTCGAGGTCTCAGCTTAAATACCACTTCATCAGAAGATCTGCCCTATTCCCCTACTGCCAGGCAACAGTCCCCTCTCCCAGCCTCTGGTACTCTGCCATCACAGCCTTTATGGCTATTGTGTTTTATGTTATTTGCTGATTAATTAAGACAGATATTCCCCTACTGGAAGGCAATCAGTCTTTCTGTGGAATATGCTCTGTGAGAGCAGGGATCGTTGCGTAATCGTTTGCTACTATAGCCACTGCGTGTGGCACAGAGAAAGTGCTCAAATATTCCTTGAATGAATTCACTTTATAGCTAAGGAAGTGGAAAGGCTCAGCAAAGCCAAGTAACGAGCTGACATTGTGTAACAGCGGAGGCTGGATTTGAAACCAGATCTGTGTAACTCCACAGCCTGGGATTTTTCTACTACACCAAACTATGTGGACACAGAGCCACTGTTCAGGACCACACACTCTGCCACAAAGGATGGACCCCCTTCGCGAAAATGGTGGACGGTAGAGTGGAAGGCATGGTGCTAGCCAGGTTGCCTCCTTGCTTATGGGCTCAAAGAGACACAGGAGGGCACTTCACTAAGAAATCAAGAAACTTCTCAACCGGGCAAACTCGTGTCTGGCAGCCAACAGGGCAGCGAACGGAGGGACAGAGCTGAGACTTCATGCCCTTCCCTGGCCTGATGTCAAGCAGGCGGTGGGCAGCAGGATGGAAGTCTGTAATTCTCTGCACCCTCCTTCTAGTTCTCAAGATGGATTAGCCCGCAGCCCACCACTGGGGCCACTAGAGGAGTGGTTAACAATCTAGACTTTGGGGCGCCTGGGTGGCTCAGTTGGTTAAGCGACTGCTTTCGGCTCAGGTCATGATTTCCAGGTCCCGGGATCGAGTCCCGCATCGGGCTCCCTGCTCAGCGGGGAGTCTGCTTCTCCCTCTGACCCTCTCCCCTCTCATGCTCTCTATCTCATTCTCCCTCTCAAATAAATAAATAAATAAAATCTTAAAAAAAAAAAAAAACAATCTAGACTTTGGATCAAGACTGGATTTGAGTCCTGGCTCTGTCACTTACAAGCAGTGTGACGACCTCCCTGCACCTTACCTTTCACATCTGTGAAATGAGAAGAAAAGAATGTACTCTCACAGCATGATTCGGATTAAATTAAAATGTAGATTTTCAAGAAGACCATGTATACACACAGCCTGTATCCAAGAGGGGCTCAAAAAATGGGAATTGATATTGTTATCATTTCCAATTTATTCCAAGCCTCATACCTTACGCTGCATCATCTGTGTGGGGTGCTTCCTATCAAGGACTGCCTGATGGAGTTAAAACATCTATACTTTCATCTCTTTTTGTTAAGTAAACTTAGGTTTAAGTAGCTTAACTTAAGTAACCTTAAGAAAACAACCCCCCCCAACATGGGGCTCGAACTCACGACCCTGACATCAAGGGTCGCACGCTCCACGGACTGAGCCAGCCAGGCGTCCCTACCCTTCATCTCTTTACACTCCTGTGTTGAGTCAGGTTAACAAATGTACTTGCTCAAATTGAATGTCAGGTTTTATTTGTGAATTAGAAAACATGGTTTGTTTTGGGGCGCCTGGGTGGCTCAGTCGTTAAGCATCTGCCTTTGGCTCAGGTCATGATCCCGGGGTCCTGGGATCGAGCCCCGCATCAGGTTCCCTGCTCTGCGGGAAGCCTGCTTCTCCCTCTCCCACTCCCCCTGCTTGTGTTCCCTCTCTCGCTGTCTCTCTCTCTGTCAAATAAATAAATAAATAAATAAATAAATAAATAAAATCTTAAAAAAAAAAAAGAAAACATGGTTTGTTCCGGAAAAGAAATGTGTGTAGGCCCACCACCTGTGTGTCTCACTGGACCATGAATAAGAAAGCTGGCAACAAAACAGAGTACTAGTGTGGCTGGTGTCTTTACTAGACAAAGTTGCTGTGAGCAAACCCTAACCTGTAAAACTGCTCATGTACAGAAAGAAAGACCTATCTTTAACTTGGAAAAGGGGCTATTTGCGTGACCATGCTTTCAACCGAACTTGGAACAGCCTTTCTACCTAACCGGACACAGAATCTACTCTCGCTATATAATGGGACTGACATTTTCATGACATTATCCATTACCGAGCTAACAGGTTACAAATCAATGTGACAAGACTTTGACTGCTTTGAGTCTTATTTCTTAAATGGTCCAATTGTGACCACAAGCAAATATGTCCAGCCTTCCACATAAGCCCCCCAAATTGGCAACCCCATATATTACGTTCTGGTAGGTTTCTGTCTGTTCTTTTTTTAAGCATTGGTCTTCCCCGCTTTCCCAGTAAGTGTATAGGTAGAAAAATAAATGAAGTCAGCACTCTTTAATTCTCACTAGAATAAACTGTGACTCAAATACGGTGAGTGGTTATTTGCAAGGCTATAATTTTTTTAATGACAGATTTTCCTAAAAGAAACCACTATAACATCTGTCCAAGTACTCCAAGGGAAAACAAAAAATACATACAGATTAAGTCTATTTCTTTAACAGCACATTGCCAAACACGGACGACGAGGATAAAATGCCAAGAACCTTACAAAATAACTTTTAAAAGATGCAATGTTTGAGTCATTCAAACACGTAGGGTTCACAAAGAACAGAACAGTTAAGTCCGAGAGCAGCTCTACTTTGTGCGTGATGGTAACCTCAGACTGTCCTTCATTCGAGTTCACTCAGGTGTCGAAAACCAACAGGTATATGAGCACAGTTTGTTGTTTCTTCTTTGCTTGGAGACGTGCACACAGATTAGAGGAGAGGAGAAGTTTTCAGATGCTGACATAAGCACAGCAGCCTTGGATCCCCTTTGATAAAGTACGAAGGCAGATTTAGTTGACTCAAGCTGTATCGGTTTCCCTAAGAAAAAGTCTTATGCATGCTGAAAGAGACGAGTTACTGAATGGGTCATGCTAAGTATTTACAGCCATTTTCATAAAGTGAGCTCAGTAACCTGACAGAATAAAAAAGGTAGTTGTTAATTTCTTGTATAACCTCTTACAACTTGAACAACTTTGTGGGTGAATGACGCTGAAGTTCAAAGCCCCTCAAACACACATTAACAAGAAATGAGAGACTGCATGAAGAGGCACACGTCCTATCAAACGCACACGTCACGGGGCTCCTGCATAGCAGGAAAGTCGCTACCACTACGTAACAAATGGCTGTGCCAACAGTTAGAGCTGCCGCTCGAGGGTACAACAGTAGAATTCCCTTAAAATCTCAAGGAGTGTTCACAACAGTACAGACACCTTGGGGAGAATAAGTACATATTTTGTTTGGAAAGACATCTTTTGCTGGGAAATTTGAACATCATGTAAACACATCAGTTTGCGAATTGGGTTAAGATTTAAGGCAATGCTACTCAGAACGAAGGGGGGAAAGACCCACAAAAGTTCCCATTTGTCTTCCGAAACATTAACAGGTCAGGATCAACATCAGAACGTACCCCCCTTCTAAGCGTTCAGTGCACCTGTAGGTTTTTTCAGCATTACAAAATAGAATCTACTTTCATTCTCTGAATAGGAAATGGGAAGTTGCTATGTACTCTTCCTTGAAAACTGTAAAAGAAAAAAAAAAAAACCCACACCCACACCCACACGGCAGCTTCAGTATTTCATATTAAAAAGTAACATGGAAACGAAGACAAGTCTAGCTGGTGCACATAAAGGAACACTGCCCTTACGATAAGCTCCAGAGCGGTGCGCTTCTCTCCGACTGACTTTGATGTAGTGTGGAACAATCATGGAGTCATAAATTAACTTTAAACATCAACTACAGACTAACGAATGACAATGAGACATAGTAAAGTTCAAAAATTTTACATTTTGCTCCTGTTTGGCTGCTAAAGAGCAGCGATTTAAATCAATATAAAAAACACCTGACCACAAAGCTTGCTATACAGATAAAGTATATAATCCAAAAGTAAGCAGCAACTGAGTTTCTTATTTAAACTTATCTGATATGGAATATTTACACATTTGGGAAGAGAGATATCCGAAGCACCCCCCCCTTCTCTTTCCTCCGCTCCTGCGCTTTGCCCCGGCCCCCGCCAATGCAGACCACGTGCCCTGTGCCATCTACACCTGTACTTCGGCTAACCTGGCAGGATGATGCGACTCCTTCCTATGGTCTTGGTCTGGGAGAAAAGCAACACAGTCTTGGACGTCATTTGTAGCCCTTCTTTTCTGAACACCAGTGTGCTATAAGTCAATGAATCTGTTCCTTCATAGCAAGGGGCGGGGGAGAGAGCCCCTCCCCACTTCATTCCCAGCTCCAACGGGACAAGATCCGAACACCATCCGGAGAAAAAGGAGAGACAAAGGTCATGACCAAGGCAGTAGCAATGAACACAAGTTTCCCAACAAAGGAACCTCTCCCTCCATGGGCTTCCCCAGAGATAACACTCCCTCTTTCCTCTCCCTCCCCTCCCACGAAACAAAATTAATTCACGGCACAAGAACTTGGTATTCTGGTTAAGTATCAGGTAAGTGTAAGAAAGAGTAAATCTGTCACTTTGTATACTTTAACTGAGACGTAAAGCTAACGGAACACACAACAGCACTGTGAAAATAACTTTTTTCTAAAACAGATCCAATCTACATAGTGCAGCCAACGAAACATAAAAGAAGAGTTTGTTCACAATCTGCCTTGTACAGGATATTTATATTCTCTCGATGCCATATAAAGAGTATTTATATAGCTTAAACATTCAGAGACATGCACTGGGACTTTTTAGGTAGTACAAATTTCTTCACAATCACATGTGCAAATTTTACAAATCACTAAGTGAGCATTAGTAAGCTTAGGCTGGACTGTGTCTTGTATTATCTAACAAATTTAATGGGGGTTCAGAATCATCCATAGGAAGAACCAGGCGTGTTCCCCGAATGACCAGTTCGTGGTCCCCAAATGCAAGCTCCCGATCCAAGGCATCTTCAGAACTGTTTCCCATAAACCGCCTAGGGGCAACGGATGCTCCTGATTCGGTGTTCACAGTAGAATCCCCATACGTCAAACTAATATCGCCATCATTGAGAATAAGATCGGAGTCATCGTCTTTCAGTTGCTCCTGGTTCTAAATGCAAATAAAATAAGTCTTAAGAATTGCTATGTGACTCAAGAAACATTTCCAATAGGAGACTTTTCAAGGATTCCCTATTTAAAACCCTTCAAGGCTAGCCTGCTGCCCTCAGGATAAAGTCCACAGTCCTCACCCTGGCTTAAAGGCACTTAACACCCCCCAAAAAATAATCAAAGTCAAAAAATGGGCAGAAAACATGAACAGACACTTCTCCAAAGAAGACATACAAATGGCTAACAGACACATGAAAAAATGTTCATCATCATTAGCCATCAGGGAAATTCAAATCAAAACCACACTGAGATACCACCTTACACCAGTTAGAATGGCAAAAATTGACAAGGCAAGAAACAACAAATGCTGGAGAGGTTGTGGAGAAAGGGGAACCCTCTTACACTGTTGGTGGGAATGCAAGTTGGTACAGCCACTTTGGAAAACAGTGTGGAGGTGCCTCAGAAAATTAAAAATGGAACTACCCTATGACCCAGCAATTGCACTACTGGGTATTGACCCCAAAGACACAGATGTAGTGAAAAGAAGGGCCACATGCACCCCAATGTTCAGAGCAGCAATGTCTGCAATAGCTCAACTGTGGAAAGAGCCGAGATGCCCTTCAACAGAGGAATGGATAAAGAAGATGTGGTCTGTATATACAATGGAATATCACTCAGCCATCAGAAAGGATGAATACCCAACTTTTACATCAACATGGATGGGACTGGAGGAGATTATGCTAAGTGAAATGAGTCCAGCAGAGAAAGTCAATTATCATGTGGTTTCACTTATTTGTGGATCATAGGGAATAGCATGGAGGACATTAGGAGAAGGAAGGGAAAAATGAAGCGGGGGGGGGGGAATCGGAGGGAGAGATGAACCATGAGAGACTATGGACTCTGAGAAACAAACTGAGGGTTTTAGAGGGGAGGGGGGAGGGGGGATGGGTTAGCCCAGTGATGGGCATTAAGGAGGGCACGTACTGCATGGAGCACTGGGTGTCATATGAAAACAATGAATCGTGGATCACTACATCAAAAACTAATGATGTATTGTATGGTGACTAACATAACAAAATAAAATTAAAAAAAAAAAAAATGAAGGCACCAAGTGGTGACTTGGGCCCTTCACCCCAGCCCTGCCCCGCCCCTGCATCTGCTTCACCCACTCCAGCTGCCCATTGTGTGCCTGCCATTTGAACTGCTGACAGGTGCTCAAATCACTCATGCCTTCCCTTCCTCCTGTCTCCCCCGCCCTCCTTCCTGTGACTAGGGCCTGCTTATCACTGAGGTCTTGGCTTAAAAGAAAGTCCCCTCCTGCTGGAAGTCTTCCTTGATCTTGCAAAGCTGGCTTAGATGTGCCTCCTGTGCTCTCTCCCAGCGTCCCACACTTAGCCCTGGCCCTACGGTGCCCTTCACCCTTGTACCACAGCTGCATGCACACTGGTCTGCTCTCCCAGCCCACACTAGCCTCTGAGCCCCTGCTATGCTCTAGTCTGGCCACCAGACAGCTCGGGGCACACAGAAAGTATTCTCCAAATGTAAGTTCAATGCATCACCAAGTGGATGTATGGAAGTGAAGCTTTACTTCAGTGTGAACAATGCCTAGAGTTATAATATCCCCCAAATATGTTGAACCCTCACCGTATACTTGTCTCCCAGCTCAATAAGCTTTTGGTTCTCACGGAGACTTTGTGGCCAAAAAAGTAGAATTAAATAAAGTTCTACAAAAGGGGGAAAAAATTAAGCATATATAATGTCATTTTGGTAAATAAAAGAATGTTATATGTGCATAGAAAAGTCTGGAAGGGTAGTCAACAAAATGATGATCGTTAGCTCTGCGTGATAAAATTGCTAGTGATTTTTATTTTCTTATGTTTCTGTACTGAAATTTTATTATATTGAGTACATATTACTTTTAAGAATCAGAAAGTCACCTTTTTCTAATATATAGCATAAGAATCATTCTAAACACTCCTATGGATCTGGCAAAAAAGTCTGTGACTAATACTCCCCGAGGGAAGTAGAACTGATACAAACAGCGTATATCCGGCTCTCCTAAGCTGTGTGTGTTTGAAAGCCTTAAATTTGTCTAAGACAGTCAGACTGAGGAGACTGTTAGACATAAATTTAAAAGTTTTAATTTGCTGTTGCTAGAAATTTGCCTAAATACTCAAAGCCAGGTGAATTAAAAACCAAACAAACCCATTTCACCAACCAACCATAATGCCCTCCTGCCCTGTATAGTATAACGTGAAGACCCACCAGGGTCTGTCCCCTCACTGAGTGATACTCGCAACAAAGCTGGGGGCTCCTTCACACACCAGCAGAGGCTCTTCAGCACTGTCTAAGGACTTAATATTAAGTTTGAGGTTTGGGGCAATATCTATCAAATTTTAAAATGCATATAATGCCTTTTGACTCAGCAATTTAACCCTTAAAATCTATCTTATATACATTTATATACTTGGATAAATTCATAGGTACAAGAATATTTACTATAAACATGGTTTGTAATGACAAAAAAGGAAAGGAAACAACTTAAAGGTCTATCCGTAGGAGACTGATTAAATCCATGCTGCTCCAGCCACACACTATGCAGCCACAAATACGGAGAAGATAATGTACTCGTAGAAAAGTAGCCATGATCTATCGTTAAAGTGAAAAATGCAAGTGGCCGGACAATGCAATTATGATCTCATTTGTATAAAACAGTAACAAAGCTATATATGTAAGTCTGTGCAAAGCTATATATACACATGTAAGTAACAGGTACTTCCTCTGTTATTAGGAAGTAAACACAGTAAATCCTTAATAAAGCCTGTCTCTGGGGGGATGTAGGTGGGAGAAGGAGCAAACTGATTTTTCACTTTGTACATTCCATCCTGTTTGAGTATCTGGCCACAAGTGCGGTAACTTTTATAACTAAAAAAGTAGGTAATTAATAAATGAAAAATAACATTAAAAATTAAGTTTTTTGGTTGTTAGGGATTACATGATATCCCCCCCAAAAGATGCTGAAATCCCAACCACCAGTACCTGTGAATGTGACCTTATATGGAAATAGAGTCTTTGCAGATGATCGAGTTAAGATGAGGTCGTTAGTGTGGGCCCCGATCCAGTATGACTGGTGCGTGTCCTTACAAAAGGGGAAATTTGGTCACACACACACACACACACACACACACACACGCACACGCACACGCACACACAGAGTGTCATGTGAAGATGAAGACAGAGATCTACGTAATGCATCTGCAAGCCAAGCAACACCAAAGACTGGCAGCAAACCACCAGAAGGCGGGGAGAGGCCCGGAGCAGATTCTTCCTCCCAGCCCTCAGAAGGAACCAACCCTGCCCACGCTTTGACCTCAGACTTCGAGCCTCCAGAACTACGAGACAACACATTCCTGTTGAGCCATTTGGTCTGTGGTACTCTGTTATGGCAGCCCTAGGGGACAAATACAACCATGTTGTATTTTGCTATATTCCACAGGACGCACAGTTGTTGTGGAACTCTTGGCTTCTGGTGACGGTGAGTGGGTCTCTGGAACCCAAGAGCCAAGCCTCACTGACTGAACTGACGAAGCTGGCCGCCCCTCTGCACAGAGCCTCGTGGGCTGACAGGGCACAGAGGAGATGGAGGCTGCTCGAGAGGGGAGCCCGGGCAACGTGGAAGGGAGAGACAAGACAACATGCCTGCTCCCCCCACCCCCGGGCACAACCTTCAAAAAGGTGCACGGACTCAGCGTCCCACAAAGCCTTGGGGCGCCCCGCCCTGTAGGTGCGGCCTCTCCTAAGACCCCTCTTCCCGTCCGTTCTCTGGGGGCTCTGCTCTACCACACCACAGAGCGGGGCGCAGGGAGCCGCCCAGTGCCTGTCTACACGCGTCGCCGCTGCCTTGTCACTGTACTCGAGCTGCTGCATCAGACTAGCCCCGGGGGCGGGCTTTGTTAATGTGGGCACCGTATCTGATGCCACAGATGATTTCTGAAGGCTTGGGCTGGAAGCAAAGGTTTTTTAAAAAGAACTTGAAAAATAAGATGTTCCTATTTTAAAATAAAGGCTGGCTAGCATTTGTCATTTCTTTCTGTGCTGCGACGCTTGCCGAATCACCGATCTCATGTTGGCAGCTGAGGAAAAAGAAAACAGGGGCTCCGGGTACTGTCTGGATGTGCTCGTGCCGCCTAGCAGCGTGGAACAGGGGCACCGGTAGATAAACTCTCCCCGAGAGCCCAAAGTTGGCAGGCTTGAAGTAAAAGGCCATCTGTGGCACTTGAGGGGTATCAAAAACTGTTTTATTAATCCTCTCAACATGACTGTGACCCCTCTAATTCCTAGATGAAAACGTAACACATTCCGTACCGAGCTTGGGCCACATACTGTAAATAAATCAAAACCAGCATGGAAATAGAATTATTTACTAAAATCACTGACAGTAAGTGAGGTAATAACACTAGATCTCTTTTCAAATGATGTTTCAAAGACCGTGAAATTGTATCTCTAGATTTCTCTATGTATCTATATGTATTTTCTGGCTGGGCAAAATGGGCTTATCTTCCCTCTCATGGATTTTATACCTGAAAAGGCAAGTGAAGCAAAACCAAACCAGTGACGCATCCACAGAGCAGAACAATTTAACTTCATGAACAACTTAGGTTTTGGATAAAAGCAACTTACTTCATAAGCTTGGGGGCTGGTCAGGCATCTGGCGATGGGCCCGCAGCAGGCAGGGAGCGTTGTAGTGAGCGGAGGTCCACTGTGCGTCAGCAGGGGCTTCAGATAGCTGCGCCGCAGGTTAAGGAAGAGCCATGGCCCTTTCTTCCCAAATGCAAAAGGACAAGTCGTGTGCTCACCACCACCCTCCCGGTGTACCCGCCGCTTCAAAGGGCAGCAGAGGGCCTTCACGTTATGCCAGTGAGACAGCAAAGGGAGATTTTGTTACGATCTCTGTTTCACAGAAATGGAAACTGAGGCTCAGGGAAAGGAATGACCCGCCGAAAAGTCACACAATGAAGCAGGTGAAGGACCCATACATGAACTCAGATTGGTTGGATTCCAAGCCCTGTGCCATGTCCACGGCATCACATTGCCTTTCTGCTTTTACCAAAACCAAAGGGAAGACAGAATCACTCTCAGTTTAGCGCTGAAGGAGATGCGGTAGAAAGTAAAGAGTGGTAAGAGTCAGAAAAAAGATGAAATTTTCCAGCCGCAGAATTTAGTAAGAAAAATGGTTTTAATCATCTACTGTGAACTCAGCTAGCATCTTGAATGAGTTGAAACTTCATATCAAAGGAAATTCAATTCCAAAAACGTCAAAAAAATTATGTATCACAAGTTCCTCTATCATAGACCCTCATTTCAGTGTTCATTTATTCTCTAAAAAAATAAAAACAGACATGATAATATATACAATACTCAGAAGAAAACAAGAGGGAATAGTAAGAAAAAGTAGAGACAATGGGAGAAAGACACATACACATATTCCCCACTTTCTAAAGTCACAACCTAAGGTTGTTCTCAGTTAAAAATGAGGAATAGTCCTGGGGTGCCTGGGTGACTCAGTCGGCTAGGTGTCTGACTCTTGGTTTCAGCTAAAGTCATGATCTCAGGGTCATGGGACTGAGTCCCGTGCTGGGCTTTGCGCTCGGCGCAGAGTCTGCTTGAGATTCTCTGCCTTTCCTTCTGCCCCTCCCCCAACTTGCCCTCTCTCCCTTTCTCAAATAAATAAAACCTTTTTTAAAAAATGAGGACGAGTCCTATGTCTCTCAGACAAAACACTCCAGGCCCAGGTGACTTCACTGGTACAGTCTTCCCAGCACTTAAGGAAGAAAAAAATACCAATCCTCCAGAAAATAGAAAAAGAGAAAAATTCCTCTCCATTCATGTCATCAAACCAGCATTATCTTGTTATAGACGCTTGACAAGGACATCACAACAATGACAAAAAAAACCCACAAGCCAGTATCACTCATGAAAACAGACACAAAAATCAGACACAAAATATCAGTAAACTAAGTCCAGTGACACACACAAGGGATGGTGTATCACGACCAAATGGGATTCGTTCCACCCATGCAGGACTGGTTTAATAGTCAATCAATATAAATAGCACAACGACAGATTAAAGGAGAACAAATTAAATACATGATCGTCTCAATTGATGCAGAAAGAGCATCTGATAATATTCAATGCCTGTTCATGATAAAAACTCTCAGCAGACTAGAAATAGAAGGGGATATCCTTGACAAAGGCTATCTCAAAAACCTACAGCTGGGGTGCCTGGGTGGCTTAGGTCATGATCCCAGGGTCCTGGGATCGAGTCCCACATCGGGCTCCCAGCTCAGTGGGGAGTCTGCTTCTCCCTCTCCCTCTGTCCTTTCCCACCCTGCTTGTGCTCTTTCTCTCTCAAATAAATAAATAAAATCCTAAAAAAAACTTATAGCTAACATCATACTTAATGGTGAAATATTGAAAATTTTCCTCCTAAGGTCAGGAATAAGACAAAAATGTCCACTATCATCACTGACATTCAACATTGTACCGGAGAGGTCCAGCCAGTGTAATAAGACATTAAAAAAAAAGTAAGATGTTAGAAAAGAAAAAAAGACACAATATTTTTCACCTGATTTTATGAACAGTAAATAAAAAAAATCTATAAACTATTTTATAATAATAAGTGAACTTATTAACACGATTGCTGGATACAAGGTCAATATATTTGCAAGAGCATCAAATACTTAGGGATAATAAATATCATAAAAGATGTGCAAGACTTGTCACTGAAAGCTATAAAACATTAACGAGAGAAATTAAAGGATATACTGTGTTCATAGATTGGAAGACTCAATATTGTTAAGATGTCAGTTCTCTCCAAATTCATCTATTGATTTAATACAAACCCGAGAGAATTGCCAGCAGGTTTTTTTGGTGAGTGGGTGAGTGGGTGAGTGTGAGTGTGTGTGAGTGTGTGTATGGAAAGTGGCAGGCTGTTTCTAAAATTTAGATGAAAATGCAATGAACCTAAAATAGACAAGGCAATACTAAGGAATAACAAACCTATAGACCTTCCCCAATTGGAGGGGCGCCTGGGTGGCTCAGTTGGTTAAGCGACTGCCTTCGGCTCAGGTCATGATCCTGGAGTCCCGGGATCGAGTCCCGCATCGGACTCCCTGCTCGGCGGGGAGTCTGCTTCTCCCTCTGACCCTCCCCCCTCTCATGCTCTCTCTCAAATAAATACATAAAATCTTTAAAAAAAAAAAAAAAAAAAACAGAACTTCCCCAACTGGATAGCAAGATTAAAAAGTACAGTCATTAATAGAGTGTGGTATTGATGTGGAAAAAAAAAAAAAAAGACAAAGAGAAAAGAAAGTCCAGAAACAGACTTCCACTTATATGGCCATGTGATTTACAATAAAGGCCCCACTGCACTTCAGTGGGTTAAGGATGGCATTTTCAATAAATGATGCTGGGTTAACTGCCTACTCATATGGGAAAAAAGTAGGTCTTGACCCATACCTCACACCATACACAAAAATTAATTTGTGGTGGGTCAAAAACTTAAATGTGATAGCTAAGACAATCACACTTCTAGAAGAAAACATAGGATCTTGGGATATAAAAGATTTATCAAGACACAAAAGCACCAAAAGAAAAGAGTAATAAAGTAAACCTCATTAAAATAAAGAATTTCTGTTCCTTACAAGACAGGATTAAGAAAATGAAAAGGTGAGCTACAGACTGGGGGAAGATATTCATAGTACATATAACCAACAGAGAACCCAATTCAACACAGAAAGAACTACAAGTCAATAAGAAAAAGATAAGACAAATCAATTAAATAATGGGCAAAAGAACTAAACAGACACTTCATAAAAAATGAAGTCCAAATAGCCAATAAACCTACGAAGGGATGCTCGATCTCACTGGCAATCAGAAAAATGCAAATTACACCACACGTGGTATCGCTACGCACCCACGGAAATGGCTAAAATTTAAAAGGCTGGTTAAATATCAAGTTTTGGTGGAGATCTGGAACAAGTGGGACTCCCTTAAGCTGCTGGTGGGAATGTAAATTGGTTACGACCACTCTGGAAAACTGCTTGGCAGTACCTATGAAAGCTGAACAATACACTTGCCCTAAACTTTTCTCCTAGGTATATATACCCAAGAGAAATGAATGCTGATGGTCACCAAGAGATGCGTACGTGGATGTTTAACTTTGTTCGTAACAGCCAAAAGGTGGAAACAACCCAAATGTTTATCAACAGTAGAACGGTTGGAAAAACCAACCAACCAACCTGTGGTATATTCACACTATGGAACACCACAAAGCAATGAAAAAGAATGGATTATTGGTACAGGCAACAATATGGATTAATTACATGTTGCTAAGTGAAAAAAGCGAGACATAAAATAATATGTAATATATGATTCCATCTTTATTAAGATCAAAACCAGGTAAAACTAATCCATGTTGCTAGAAATCAGAATGGTGGTTGCCCTTTGCAGGGAGGAGCGGCAGGGAAGGCATGGACTATAAGGGAACACAGGGCAGCTTCGGGGATGCTGGAAATGTTCTAAATATCTTTACAAGGGTAGCAAGCACACAGGTATGTACACAGGTTGCAAGCTTAAGATTTGGGTATTTCATTTATATCTCAATTATAACAATCTGGCTACACAAAGGACCTGAAATCTAGAATGATGAATGATTAATTCTACTAGGGGCACTAGGTATTAAAATTACCGGGTCTTAGGGCACCTGGGTGGCGCCGTCGGTTAAGTGTCTGACTCTTGGTTTCAGCTCAGGCCATGATCTCAGGGTCGTGAGATCGAGCCCCATGTCAGGCTCTGTGCTGGGTGTGGGGCCTGCTTAAGATTCTCTCTCTCCCTCTCCTCCTGGCCCTCCCTGCCCCAGCTCTCTCTCTCGGAAAAAAAAAAAAAATTACTGGCTCTTAGTCTAGTAGTACTGAGTCAAATCTTGATGTTCACTTCTATAAAAATATACAGAAAAATAAGCTATTATTCTGCTCTTTCTCTACATCAGGATTATTTCGTTGTTTTGTACATATATTATGCAGAAAACGTACAAAACATTTTATGCAGGAAACATTACACAATTTTTGTTAAATCAGAGGGAAGAAAAAGCCCCAAGAGATATGGGAATGGCTTATACCCAAAATGCTGATAATGGAGCCAGAAGTAATGACATAATCATTAAACAATTTTAAAGAGCCAGGCTCTCTCTCCCTACTGGGAGTCTTAATACCACAGATCTGCTTGCATTCTTGTTTCCATACAGTAATTTAATTTTGAGTACTTGCAAAAAGTGACTGTAAAAATCTAGCAAATGGAATATAGTAAGTAGTAGCTTCTAATGATAAGAGCCAAGTGCATTTTTCTTAAATATACAAGGCTTTCATCAGCAAGTCAAAAGCAAGGGAAGCATTTTTTACATGGTTGTCCCAAATTGGCTTTGGTGGAACACAAACCGGGTTTTGATTCATTTACTAATAAGCCTCAGCCTGAAAGAACTGCATGGTCCCTTTTCCCAGTTCAATTTTCAAATAAGATGATTTTTTAAAGATTTCATTTATTTATTTGACAGAGAGAGAGAGCACAAGAGAACACGCACAAGCAGGGGCAGAGGGAGAGGGAGAAGCAGGTTCCCCGCTGAGCAGGGAGCCTGATGCGGGGCTTGATCCCAGGACCCTGGGACCATGACCTGAGCCGAAGGCTGATGCTTAACTGACTGAGCCACCCAAGTGCCCCCAAGAAATTGATTTTAGTAAATAGTAAGGGATAAAATGTTTTCTGAAAGGCATGACTTAAACAGGTCATACAACATAACACAACCCAAAGTAGCATTATGAAGAAGACAGTTACTATAGGAGAAGACAGAGATTTGGTAAACAATGAAACACTGGCACCCTGAGTGGAGAGGCAAATCTTCCAGTCTCCTGACAGGTCAGGGAAAGCAGGCCCGCCACTGGCTACTGCGGGATCTAACATGACTCCGTTTTCACCTCACACTCACGCTTTTCCCTGAGGCAGCATTTCCTCTTTTATCCTAGCAGGTGCACTGACAAGAACCGGCAAAAACCTTTTGCAAGATTCACTAAATTAGGTAAAAGACAACGATTGCTCAATAAATAGGCCAAGAGAGGGAAGAAAGTCTACCATAAGGGCTCCGGAGGCCCATCACACAGCCACCTTCTATACGAACCGCTCCCTGCTGGCGTCCTGGGTTTTCAGGGGAATTCATTTGTGTGGATTGTCTTTAATAACCTTCTCCAACCACCACACTGAAGGGGAAAGGGAAGACCAGAGGTAGGTTTTGTATTCCACTTCAGGAAGGGAAAAATCAAAACAGCCATTCCATTAAATTGTAACTGGCCATGTTCACACGATCATTTTTTCCCCTCAGTTAAGGATACTTATGGTCAAAGTTGTACCATATCCGGAAAAGCCAGGCACTCTCTGCTTTGGTGGTTCTTCTCTCATTTTCAGGAATACCCTGCAAACAGATAATAAAGAAATCAATACATACACCAAGATAAAAAACACATTTATTTAGAATCATTTCTTTGCAGACTTGGAAATATAGCCTACTTCATACAAGATACCCTCTATCATGGGTAACATTAGAAATTTAATAGCTTGCATTTTGCAGCTCTGGAATACTAAATTGAAATGTTTTTCTGAACACCTCTATTACTCAGGCTGCCTGCTGATTTATGGGTCTACTGTCATTTAAAAAAAATCAATGTGGGATAATTTGCCCTTAAATCTGCAAGACTTACACCCACAATGTGAATTGCATCTTAAGTAGAAAACATCACATCGACATCCCTATCTTTGGGAGTTGCTATGGGTCCCAAAAGTAACTGGCTTTTGCAAAGATGCTACTATGTTCTTAGACCACTAGCAAAATGAAAGCAAGCAGAAAAATTCCATGGTAAGCCTGAGAGGCTAGAAGGGAAAACTAACATAGCAAGCAGGTCCCTTCTAAAATAGCTTCCAAAACCAAACTGGGTCCTTATTTGTAATGTGGTACAGTCAGCAGTGGGGCAGTTCGGTGATCTGGTTCATCTCAGCTCTGACACGAACTAGTTGGACAAGTCCCTTCCCCTCTCTGAGCCTGGATTTCTTCGTGTACACAGGGCGAGGGGTAAAGAATCTCAAAGGCCCTTTCTAGCATGGATGTTCCACGGTCCCAGGCTTTCTGAAGAACACAGAGTTTAGACTCTGGGTTTTGGTTCTTTCCTGTCCTTCCTGATCTTCAAAATAAATAAATAAACCTTCCTCTCAACATGTATCAAAACATACACAAAATAAGAATGTTTGAGAACACTGTACCGGCTTACAAGAGCTGAAAAACACCTGTACTTCCTTTCACACTGGTACACAAAGGTTTGTACGTCTCTGCGTTTTGAAGAGCAATGGGTCTATAAATCTCACGATCCCTTCACCACATAAACACCTATACACCTAACGCCCACATACTCCATACTTACTATCATGTTCCTCTCTGCTTCCCAGTGGACACTTGAAATATTGACTACACGATGTAACAAAGCAAGACACCCATACGGTTTTGAGGGCAAGGGAAAAATGGCATTTTTTTTTCTGTATCTCACTGCTGCTACTCACCTACCTGGCTTTCTTTCGCCATTCCCATTTCTCCTCTGTGGTGACAGAGGTGACATAGCAGGTGGAGACTTATGTGGCTCATGACCAAGCATTTGTCTGGTGAATCATATGATACTCGATTCCTATTTGGACACGGGGTGGAGCCCTGAGGAACTACTTAGAAACATAGAAACTACCCCAGCGGCTCGGCATCATGGGGATTTATCCAGCCTGGTTTGCACAAGTATTTCAAGCCCATGAAACTATACTAGTCCGGTTCTGACCACAAAAGAGGCAAGTACTGACTATATTACATACACACTCATCACTCCACAGCTAACAAAATCAGCATTTAGGAAACGAATCTGAGAAATTTTTTTTTTTTTTGGAACCACACCCTGAAGACAAATAGACTGTGGCTTGTTTCAGACAAGAAAAAGAATGTGTTTTGGAAGAGAGGCTTTCCATCTTTAAAGACATAATTTCTGTGATTTCTCATCTAATGTCTAGGATGGAGTCATGTATTCAGTGGTGCTCAGAAACCATTAAAAAGCAGATGGAAAAACACCAGAAAAGGGTGGCCAGTTTAGAGAAGGCACCTACCAGGCTCAGGTTCAGAGGAACCAATGAGAAAAGGACACCTGGAATTAAGCAAGGAGACGTGGGCAAGGTAGAGGCATGGGACAAGAAAGTACATTCTCCTGAACAGCCCGGGAAGACTGGTTGAGGACTGCAAAGCTTCTGGGCGGTTCTCAAGGGCAGCTGCTGGTCATCCAATTTGAAAGTTACACAGGAAGAGCAGCTGGAGTGGGGCTGACATCAGAGACAAGCCTTCATGCGCAAACCAGAGTGGAAAAAGGCTCCGTGTGCCAGAGCCGTCACTTGAAAACCCAGGAGCGCTTACGGGACTGGTCCCCACCCTGGCCAAAGCCCGGGTTGGCCCACAGATAGGAGAGCTGTCACCCCTGATAACCACATGTTGTCTAAAATTTGGTTTTGTCTCTATCAAGCAGTGAGAAAAGCCAGGAACGGTGTCAGTCAAAAGCTGGTACAAACAGGACAGGATCTAAATAGCGGCATGAAGTCTACGGTAGGCCATTTTCTTTCCGAACGGCTGCACGTTCGACAGGAATGCTAGACAACACACAAATGCATATTTACCAAGTGTTCTTGGTCGGAATCAACACCAACCCTAAAGGAGAAACACAAAAGGCAAATGAGATCTTGAGACCAAAACAAGGTCTATTCCCATACGTGCCTTGTCAGGCTGCTACTTTCCCCAACACACAAGCTATGGAATGGTGAATATTTTTCTTGCTTCTCTCTGGTTGTTGATGTAGATTTTTGGCTCCTGCCACTTTCTTTAGCAACAGCTTGGATCCTGAGGCACGCGGGGTCTACTAAGGATTCTCTTCCTGCAATCCCACTTACCAGTTTCAGAAAAATAACATTCTCTTCCCTGAATGGCAGGGCACTAGAAGTGGGGGTGGGGGGGTGGGAAGGAGAGCTGCCCCAGTTGTGGAATAGGAACCACCGGGTAGTGTCGGACACAAGGCCGGCGCGGCGCAGTTCCAGGAGGGAGCTGCGTGTCTGCGGGCCTCTCGGCTCTCATGGCAACGTTCTGTTATGATGACTGAAGAGAGGGCCCAGTTACTGTTGTTTTCACAGGCTAATGGACAGATACTAGCCTGGCTTCTTCATAATTATCTTTTATCTGCTTAAAATTCCTGCTTTCCGTAGCCCAGGGAACAGCTTCATTAGGAAGCTCTCTTTGCCTCCTCTCTCTCAACACCGGCACCCACCAACTCTGTCCGTTCTTTCCCTACATGGTTTCTTCCATCTTCTCTCCTTTCCATTCCAACAGCTCAAGCTCAGGCCTCACTGTGACTCAGGAGGTCTGCTGCAATTGGCTGTAAAGTTGTCCGGCTGCCAGGCTGTCCCCTCGAGTTCGCTGTCCAAAGCACAGAACTCACGGGGTCGTTCCCTTGGCAGGAGACTCTGAGAGTGGCTTAGAACCCAGAGGGTCAAGTCTAAAGCCCTTTGGGTGGCACTGAAGGCGCTCTACAGACTAGTGACCCCTGCCACTCCAGCCTACCTTTCGGCCCTCATTTCCTCTCGTTCTCTTCTATACACCCTGTATCAGCCATCCCCGCCCACTCCTCTCCCCGGACCTGCCCTCTCCCGAGCCTCCATGCCTTTGCCCTCTAACCGAAATGCACTGTCCCTCATGTTCTTCCTACTCTTTTGGCAAGTTCCAAAGGAACCATTCTATGACCCCTGCAGGTGGAACCATTCTTTCCTCTGTCCTACAGCACTTTCTAGATTACTCTATTATAATACTTAGCGCAGTAGAGTATAATTATTTACCTGTCAGTCTCCCCAAATAGACTGTGAGCTCCTTGAGGGTAAAGGCCATGTCTCAATTCATCTCTGTAGCCCCAGAGTCTAGCACAGTACCTGATACACAATAGGTGCTCAAATGTTTATCGATTAAGGTCACTACTACAGACAACACAGAAAAAATAGCAGCGTGAGAAGCTGTAGCAGTAGCATCCCAGAATATGAATACACGAAAGGGAGGAAAATGATGCAAGACCTCATCTGGAAGGCGAGTGAATCATGGTCAAGTACTTGAAAACAGATGGCCATGACCAGATTCATAATTCAAAGAAAGGCTCGTCTCGTCTTTGTTAGATGGCCAGAAGCTGTTTAATACCTTCTTAGCCATAGTAAACTCTAGACACATTTGTGCATCTAAAGTGACATCTAGTGGTCTTGGGGATAGCACATTTGTAATACTCAGATGGAACGTTACTGGAAGCCAGTTCAGTGTAATAAACATTTATAGAGCATTTATTATCTGCCAGGCACTGTGCTAGGCACAGGGCATAGACATGAATGAGACACAGCGCCTGCCCTCAAGGAGCTCACAGACTAGTGGGGGGCACAGACACAACTAGAGCGCAATCCCCAGGGGCTTTGCAACTGGGGAGGGCTGGGCTCCCATCTGGCCTCAGCTCCTTTCTAGCTGGGTGAGCTTAGGCTATGCAGCCCGATGAACCCCAATTTTACACCTGGGAAATGGGCACCATATCCACCACAGAGTTGATGCAAGGATTAAATGAGAAAATGTACCTAAAGATTTTTCAAGGGCCTGATGCCTGATCTCACTTCTCACCACACAGTAGCTCTTCTGACGCTGCTATCCCTCCGAGGCTGGCCGAGAGGGGCGCTGTAACAGGCATGCCCACGTTCAGCCAAGGGAAGAGGGGGTCCCACAGAACAGGGCAAAGGGAGGAGGCCTCTGAGCTGTGCTAGTTCCTGGGGGGTGAAGGAGAAGCCCAGGCAGAGGAAACAGCATGAGCAAAGGCTCGGAGACCAAGAAGTGCCACGTCTGTGCGGGAAATGACAGGGAGCCAAGTGTCACTGTCACAGACTACGTGAAAGGACACAGAAGAGCTCACTGGTTGGCTCTCGCTCACTGAGGATCCTTTGTCTGCACAACAGCTGGAGCCATCCTGTCACACGGTCAAACAGATCGTGTCGCCCCCTTGCTTTAAAATCCTACAAGATTTTAAAATCTAAACTCCTCACCACATCCTACAAGGCCAGAGAGCAGGGCTCCCTAAACTGGATGGCAGGGCCCCATCCCGTACGCCTCCTGTTTTGCTGGAATACAGCCAGGCCAACTGATTTACGCATTGTCTGTGGCTGCTTTCACGCTAGAGTTGAGTAGCGGAGACAGAGACCATATGGCCGGCAAAGCCTAGAATATTTACTATCTGGCCCTTTACGGGACACATTTGCCAACCCCTGCCCCTGTAGGATCTTGCCCACCTCAGCTCCTACCTACCCTGCAATCACTAATATTCCAGCTATGTGGGCTTTATTTCTGTTCATTAAACAGGCAAAGTTCGCTCTTGCCTCAGGGCCTTGGCACTTCTTTTCCCTACTGCTGGGCCACTCTTGTTCCTGCTCACTGTTTAACTCACAATCTCTTGTCATTCAGGTGGACTGAGCGCCAAAGGAACCTCGGAGAGACCTCACCTGACCTCTGCGTATAAAATTCACTCTATCCCCAGTCACTATCACATACTGTGTTTGTCATCACAGCACTTAATATCATCTAAATTGTTTCTTTCATCTATTTGTTTACTAGCTTATTGTCTGTGTTCTCCCACTAAAGTGTAGACTTCATGAGACCAGGGACCTTTTCTATCTTACTGCTAGCACTGTATCCCTCCAGAGCAGGGTCTTTTAACCTTTGCATTACTGATATTTTGGTCCAGACAATTCTTTGTTGTGGGAGTGCTGCTCTATGCCCCACAGGATGTTTAGAGGCATCCTTGGCCTCTGCCAACTAGATGCCAGGAGCAGCCTCCTCTCTTAGTGACAATCAAAAATGTCTCCAGACGTTGTCAAATTGCACCTCTCCATTGAGAACCACTAAGTTAGAGCCTGAAACAGTGCCTGGCACATGGTTGGCGATCAATTGGTATTGATCAAATGAATCAATAAAAGGCACATTGGAAATGCTGTGCTAAGAGCTCTACAGACATTAGCTCACTGAATCCTTACAGCAACCCTCAAGGAGGCAGGTATTATCACACACGTTACAAATGAGGAACCTGAGGCGTAAAGAGAGTCAAGAACTTGCCCAAGCCCACAGAATTGGAGAATGAAGGAGCAAGAACTCAAAGTCAAATCTCAGTCTGCCTGAGTCTTAAACTTTAAGGACTTCTCAGCATCTCCAAAACTGTACTAGACAAATCCGGGGGGAGGGAAAGGAAACTTAAAATCCATGCTCTGCTCACAAAGAGGCCAAAAAACCCGCCAACCAACCACAATAAGAACTAACCTAAGATTGTAAGGCAATGCATATAATTAAGTGCCAAACTATGTTCCAGGACAAGCAAGATGGGGCCAAACGGCTTGCAAATCTGGTGAGGTGGATTCAACTCTAGGTGGGTTTTTGTTTTGTTTTGTTTTGTTTTGTTTTGTTTTAGGGGGGTGGGAGGCATGGATATTTTGTGTGGAGGGTCGTCAGGAAAGAGAACTGAGTCCATGGAAAAGCTGAGACTCTACTGAAGAGCATTATTTTTCATAAATTATCTTATATTTAATTTTGTTCTTCTCAGTAGAATAAGGAAGAATCGTCATTTACAAGCTCTTAAGGCAAGAAAGGAGTTTAATCCTTCCAAAAGTGAACACCCTCATATCTTGATGCAGTATGGTCTACGAGAAATGAGGTGAGACTGGAGGCTCCCCTGTCTGAGACTTAATTCTCTATATGACCTTGAACAACTTAGAAACTTTTGAAGCCACTATTTCCTTACTTGTGAAATGGAGCTATTGTGATTAGATAAATACGTGAAATGTACTTAGCACAATGCCCAGCACATAGTAGGTGCTCAACAAATGCCAGGTCCTCCCTGAAGTCATGATCAGGATTAGAAGAACATTACTTTCAATTATACGCAATTAATAGCACAGAAATGGTAAGAAAGGAGTTTGAAGAGTAAAAAGAAATCAAGACAATAATAACAACATTCAGAGTGTGATTTAGGGCCGGCTGGTCTCTAGAATGTTTAAGAGAAAGGCATAATAGAATGGAAAAAAACGGAGAACAGATTCTATAAAATGTGAAATACTGTTTTCTCTAATGAACCCTACACATTCTAGAGGCTCAGCAGAAGGTCTATGAAGTTTCAGCCAAACACAGAACTCAAATCTACAAAAGCTTTAGCAACACAGGCTGCTGTATCCATGGAAACAACGCAGCACTCCTGAGAGACAGGGAGCTTTCCGACTGAATACATTAACTAGTAAGCATTTAACACTAAGACCTTGCAGTCTTGGCCTCGGATTGTCAGGTCACAGACAGTGCTGATCATAAAGTTGAGAAAGAAAGATAACGTCTAGTACTGATTAGGGTTGAGATAAACTGGACTGTTTCATATGCTGCCGATGAGAAGAAACATTTTCAGTCTGATTGGGTGATATGGATCAAAAGCCTTAAATATATGCATATCGTTTGACCGAGCAATGCCACTCCTAGGAATGGATCCTAAGGAAATAATCAAACAAGTGCACAGTGGTGTGTGCGTTTATGAATGCTCACGCTCTTAATGGTAACACTTAATAGCAAAATCCTCAAATGGTAATGGTAACAGAAAAATCCTAGAAACGCTGCAAAAGTCCAAAGATAGGGATTTGGTTAAATAAATTATGGTGTATGCAGCCATGAAGTTCTGATGTAAATATATTTCCTAACATAAATGTCCATGCTGTATTACATTTACAAACTGCCTTACAAGATCACCTGCAGTGTTGCCCCTTTTTGTTAAAAATACATATAACGCATAGCAAGAGATCTAGAAGGACATCCCTCAAAGTGTAAACAATGGTTTTTAACTTTCCTTTGCACATTTCCCATTTTCTCTATACTACAGGTTACATAATTTTTAAAAGGAAGAAATAAAACATTATACATTTGTCAAAGCTTAAACTTTTCTCATAATTGAAAAAGAAAACCCTAAATTAGAGCTTAATAGTAAAATGAGGTTCCCAGGCACTACCTACCTTATATGCAAGCATGAGAGCATGGCAGTGGTGCCACCACCAAATACCCACACGGTAAAAAACACAATCAGAAGTGTGGTACTGAACATCATTTGCCGTGCGTACGTGGCAGTATCTCGAATGGCCAAGGCAAATGCCATCGCGCCACGGAGGCCTGCAATGGAAAGAAAGAGGCATTTCTTCCATAACTCCTTACCAATGCTAGCTTCAGAAATTCAGAGAAATAAGGCACATTCTAAGAACGTAGAAGCATGTGAACAAATACATAATATGTATTAACGTACAAAAGTATATACAGATACAGAGAATTAGTAGAGGATCCTGACATGCTCTGACCTTTTAACAAGATTTTAAATTTTATTTTTAAACTTATACCCAGTAACATCCACTCTTTTTGGGCGTACAGTCCCACGAGTTTTGACAATGCATAGAGGCGTGGGCCCACTAGCACAACCAAGACACAGAACAGTGTCACCACCCCCGCCAACCCCCTCACCAAATTCCTTGGTACTACATCTTTCTAGCCCCACCTTTCTGTCACTCTGCCAAACCCCTGAGCTGTTCTCCATCACTGTGCTTTTGTCCTTTTGAGAATGTAACCCTTTGAGACTGGCTTCTTTCACTCAGCGCAATGCCTCTGAGGCGCATCCACGTTGTTGAGTGTATCCCCAGTTGTGCGTTTTAGTGCGAAGGAGCACCCCACGGCCTCATGGATATCTTACAGCTTGCCTATTTGTTCACCCACTGGGCTGTTTCCAGGTTTTGGCAATTATGACTACAACTGCCATAAACGCTCACATACAGGTTTCTGTGTGAAAATATACACATCTTTATCGTCTTTACTACATGTGACAGATTTCTGAACCAGGAATTTGAAACCGGAAAATTTTCACACAAGGGAATGGGACACTATAAAAAGAATTTTCTATTGGAGGTTGCAACTTCAATGTTTAAGGGACTCTTATATTACTAGCACATCATTTCTGTTTAAAATCAAGCTAGCATATGTGTTTTGAGCGGTTTCGTGGAGTGGGCCAAGAGAGGGAAAGTTACGACTTACCAGCAAACATCATCATGTGCTGAAAATTTGATCCAATCTTACTTCTTCTACCCAAATTAAGTAAGAGGGACAAGGGGTAAATATTAGCAGCTCTTCCCAAGAAAATAGCAATCTAAAATTAATAGGTTAAGGTTAACTTCATTTTACTATTACTATTATCTAGACTACACACTCAAGACGGTGAAAGACTATCTTCAGAAGCTTCAGTAACTTTGGAAGTGGACAGAGTCTGTAAGACTAAAGGCACAAAGAACTGCACATAAGCATCATGGGCTTGTTGGTCAAGTTGTTTCCCATGGGAGTACTGGTTAACGATTCTGACGCTCCTATGTATGCTGGAATGGAACACTCAAGGGAGTGGGATGGTGGACAGTGGGAGCCACGTTTCTCACTACTGGAATGGGAGTTCACAGGTCATCAAGAAGAGGCGGCCAGGATGATGCATGTGGTAATGGATTAGCAGTAGAGACATCAGTATGAACTTATGCTTAGCTTAATAGAGATACGGATGATTACATATATATGTATAGGTATATGTACATACAGGAGCTAGTATATACATACATGTTTCCTCCCTGTGTCAGCTGAAGAGTGCCTAGAAGCCAGGACAACCCAATAACACTGAACACACTTACAGCCCAGATCTTGGTTTCTAATACCATTCCCCAATAAAAAGAACCTGGGATCCTTGGAAAAATGGCTGATCTGAGGCTGGAGCAGAAAATACACAGGACGAGCATGAAGCATCTTCCATAGAAAGTAAGGAAGTGCTTAAAAAAAATTCAAAACACACAATGATGGGAGTGTGCTAAAGGGACAAAGTACCCACTGAAAGAGCTCCTGATGGCCAAAGCTGGAACAGTTTGGGCAACAAGATTTTAAAAAGGAGTAATGTGTTATAACCCAAAGTATAAAATAAATATCAACGAGTCCATACTGATATAAATGACAATAAGAATGGAGGAGAATAGATAAATCCCCCATGCAAAGAATTCCAAATAATTTTATAGATACTCTGTCCTTAAGAACCTAACTCCCTGCTGCGTATGGTGACTCCCTTCCAAGTGGTACAATATAGAAAGGGAAAAAAAAAATCAATGACTTTACAGTGGAGCAACCTGACAAACACTCTCTCAGTCAAGTGATTAAGGCTAATAACAACATCATTCACATGTTAATAAGTATGTACCCTTGACATAATGTGATGAGAATGGCACCTTACTTCTGTATCTTTTTTGGGGATAATGCACAAGCCCAGTCTAATCATGGGGAACATATCAGGAATTCTAGCTGTGATATATTCTGCAAAGTACCTGACCGGGAGCCCCTCAAAACTATCAAGGGCCATCAAAAAGAAGTCTGTGAAATTGTCACAGTCAACTGGAACCTAAAGAGGCATGACAACTAAATGAAATGTGGCATCCTGGATGGGATCTTAGACTAGAAAAAGGCCTTTAGGGAAAAACTGAGAATCTGCATGAAGTATGAGCTTCAGGTAATGATAATGTGTCAATACTGGTTCATTAATTGTGGCAAGTGTACCATGCTCATGTGAGATGTTAACAACAGGGGAACCTGGGTGTGGGGTACAGGAGAACTTTCTGTATTATTTTCATAATTTTTCTGTAAATCTAAAACTACTCTAGAATGCAACAGTTATTAAAAATAGTGCTTCCCTAAAAAAATAAGAAAATAACAACAAAACACATGGGCCAATGTGGCAGGGACTGCTAGTTATATCCTCAATATCTATCCTTCCCTTCCTCTCTAGTGGTAGACCCTCCCTTACTCTCACCTCCAATTTTCATCTGCATACACAGTCACCTAGATAAGGAATAGAATTCCCAGCTTCTCTTGCACGTGTAACCCAATGCATGTTAACTGGAAGTGATGTGTGCCTATTCTGGGTCATGTCCTTAAAGGGAAGTGGCAGACACAGGGGTGAGCCTTGCTGGCCCCTAAGAATAAGGGCAACTCCTGAGGGATGGGTGCGAGAAGGCTGCTTGGGTCCCTGATGATTGTGGAGCAGAGCTGCCACAATAGTTCAGACTTTGACATGAGAAAGAAAGAAACTTCTACCTTGTTTAAACCTTGGTTAATTTGGGTCATTGTCACATAACGTCAAGCCTATATCCTAACTAATATAGACAGCAAGAGGACAACTCTCTCCTGGCAAGTCAATTTTCACGGTAGGCTCTTGCACTGAGGACCCTGAATTCCTCACAGACTCAGAAATGTATAGAGAATATTTGGCCTCATTTCTGGATAAGTATAGTAGATCAAGCCAGTTGACTGCTCAAGTTTCTCAAAGACTAGCAGGATATGAAGGGACTGATCTCATGGGAGTCTTCCAGCTAGAGTTCTTCTCTTATTAAAAGGGTTTTCTCTTTTTTGCCTGAAGTTCATTCCCAGAAGACTAAAACACAACAGAATGGCATTTCAGTAATACCTTATTTTCTAATAGAGATTCTATTTAGAGTTTTAATTTTAAAAATATTCCTGGTAATCTCTTTGGCAGAAACTTCATTCTGAAGTAGTTTTTAAAAATATTTCTTTTGGAAACCACTAACTCAAACCTCCCCCTCTCTAACCACACTCTCTGCTTCCATGGCTCACGTTTATCTATCCCCCTTGGATGGCTCCCCCACCTTCCCCTCTCTGGGACCTCCCATCCAAAGAGCCCTCAACTCTTTCCTCAAACAACGAGTCTGCTCCCTTTTTCACTTCCTTTCTCAGCCACATCTTAGTAACACTCCTCCTGGTACCCTACACTCACGTGCCCCTCTCTGGGTTTTCACTGCACTCACTTGACTAAACCCCAAACCTCGAAGGACCCATCTCTCTCTCTTCTCCATGCTTCCAGCCAAGTAGTACTCCTGGACAAAGTAGTACAACAGGGCAGACTGATTCTACTGTTTGTACCTCTTCCTCAAACTCACATGCATCCTTAATACTGCTCAGCAATCCGACTGCATTTCTTTGGTCAACTCACTCACTCGCTCGCCCACACTCTCTACGTCTGTTTCCCAACCTTCTCCTCAAAACTCCTATCGCCTGTGGAAGCCAGTCTTCAAGATGGTCCCCAACGATCCCTGCCTCCTAGTAGTCACACCTTCGTGTAGTCCCTGCTCACACTGTACCAGGGGCCAACAGTCAATGTGGTGGAAGGGATGATGGTCACTTCCAAGATGAGGTCATAAAAGGCACTTCAGCTTCCATCTTAGTGCTCTGCTCTCTCAGCTCGCTTCCTCTGGGGGAAGTTGTGCTGTGAGCTGCCCATGGAGAGGTCCCCTGGAGAAAGGCCTCTGGCTAGCAGCCATGTGAGTGAGCTTGGGGAGGATCCTCCAAGCCTCGGTCAAGTCCTGAAAGAGCATAGCCCCAGTCCAGAGCCTGACTGCAACCTCAGGAGAGGTGCCAGAAGCCAGCTAAGCTGTCCCTGGATTCCTGACCCTCAGAGACTGTGTGGGGTGATCGTGTTTGTTGTTTTAAGCTGCTACAGTTTAGGGTACTTTGTTATACAATAGATAACTGATAGGCCACCTGCTTCTCCCGCCCTCTCAGCAGATGCTCTCACCTCCTACTTTACAGATAAAACTAGAAGCCATCAGACAGGAACTCCATCTTACAGGTGTGTACCTGCAGCTTTCCATCCCGTCCTCTCCCGGGACAATGGTGGAGGCCGGCTGCCCCCCACATGTGTTAGATTCCATTTTCTCCTGCCTTCTCCCGAGGCTGGCACTCCTGAGTGTGCTCTTTCATGCGCTCAGCTTCTCCATTTTGACTGATTTTTAAAGCCTGAGATAGAGGCAGAGGCAAGCAGCCTCCTTTAGCCCTTCACCATCCTACAACTACTGCCCCGTGGTGCAGAGCTCTTTCCCGGGGTCTACTCTCTCTCTCTTCCCTTCAGTGACAGAGGACAAACAGTTTTACTTTTGGGGGACTGATGGAATGGCCGGAGACCTTTTTCTGTCATCTCAACCTGTGTTATTTGTGCGGTAAACAAAAATGAAGAGAGAACAGAATAAATGGAATAGGAAAAAAGAGTTGCAATCCTTCTTTGTTTTACTCAGAGGAAAATTTCATATATTTAAATGTATTCTTATCAACCACCTCTCCAGAAGACACGGGCGAATCTCAACTGAAAAGAAGTTTTTCAAAATAGAACACATAATAAAGGATACAAATGCGCCTACTACAAATGTTGGGTTAAAGACATGGTTCTGGAAGGTGAACAGTGTCAGTCCCATGTAGGAGAAGATGAAATTCTCTGCCAAGAAATTGAGAAGCTCAAACAACTGAAACGAAATTTTAAAAGGTTAGTCCAGTAAATACATTAAGTCACGTCATTTGAAAACACGAGTATCGCTAAGATAACGAAGCAGACACCCCACGTATGTAAAGCTCAGGTATATCCCCAAAACAGGTGCTTCAGAGGGGAGCAAATGTAGAGATGACATTTCGAGTCCCACAGATAAAGCCAGAGATGTTGCCCCCGCACGTCCCCCCATCACTTCCTTTGTCAATCCCCATGTTCAGTCACTGTCCTCCTCCTCCTCCTCCAAACCTTGTCAAGTTTTCTTTGGGGATGTTCCTTGTCCCTGCCACCACCTTAGTCTAAAGCTATCATCACACCCCACCCCTAATACTGCAAAGGGCCCCTCACTCTATCCTGCTGCCCCCATCCTACACCCTCACCCAGTGAGTCTCTCTGGATGCGCCACTTTGAAGACACCTCCCTCTTCCAGGCTGGAAGATCCAGTACAGATTCTTTTCTCTTGGCATCAAATGCTTCATGACAACTTCCGTATCACCGCCTTGCCGTGTGATTTCCCTTTTCACGTGGGTCTCAGCCCTTTGTTCGGGGAGCAGGGGCTTGCGGGTTATAGCCCTGCGCATGCTCCTCCCCGCCCCGGCTGCCTGCGTGCCCCGCCCGTTCACACCACTGCCCCTCAAGGATTACTGGCACAGCAGGGACCCGACACTTGCGACTTGACTTGCCCCCGGAATGCATGAGTCCCAGGCCCTCTGTAACCCAGCATCCCCCGGTCTGTCGTAGTTATCTACCACTGCTCTTGCACATGCGCCCCCTGGCCCACTAAACAGGGTAGTGGTTAAGTAACATGTGCCCAGGGGTCAAAATGCTTTGGCTTCAAGCCTGCTTTTCCCACTTGCTGGCTGCATGGCTTTGGGCAAGTTAACCTTTCTAAACGGGGCTTGCCTCATTCTTGAAAAATGGGACTTAAAAATGGAAATAAGTATATATTTAATTTACCTTAAATGACTTAATATACTATAATTATACTTATTTGTTTAACGATAATAGCTAAGCTTTATCTGGTCTTTATTACGTGCCTGATATTATGCTCAGGACTTTACAAGCATTATCTCATTTTAATCTCACAACTCCATGAGGTAGGTACTATCATTATCCTCATTTTAAAGATGACAACACTGAAGCACAGAGAAGTTATGTAACTTGCCCCTGGTCACACAGCCAGCAAGTAGTGGAACCAAGATTTGGAACGACACAGACTCTCTGCTTTAATCCACAACACCAAGGGTTGGCAAACTTTTCCTGTGAAGGATCAGAGAAAGTAAATATTTGAGGCTCTGTGGGCCACATGGTCCCTGTCACAGTCACTCAGTTCTACCAATGTAGCACAAAAGCAGCCAGAGACTACATGTTAAAAAAAATGGGTGTGGCAGTGTGCCAATAAAACTACTAATGGACACTGTAGTCTGAATTTCATATAATTTTCCCATGTCAAAAAATCTTCTTTTGTTTCCAACCATTTGGAAATGTCAACATCATCCCCAGCTCACAGACCTTACAGGGAGGTCTGGCCGTTGTCTGCCAACCCCTGAGCCACACTTTGCGGCCTTCCATTCATTAATGCTAGCTACCTTTTTGTTCCTGCCTTTCCCAGTACTGTTTCCCCTATGGCTTCTTTTCTTATCCCTTTTCTATGCTTTTCTGAATCCTTCCAATCTTTCTAGGTACACCATTTCTTCAATGACAGTTTTCCAGCCTCCTCAAGCCTCAAACCATTTCCCCGCTTCTCTGACCTCTTGTATGACATATCATTTGAAACATACAATCTAGAAGTTCCATTAGTTTGTTTTTTTTTTTTTTAATGTTATTCAAGCTTCATATCACCAACAAGACTGGAAACGCCTACTTTGTTTGTTTGTTTTTTTAATTCCCCACTCCATTGTCTAGAAAAATACCAAACGCCCCAGCTAATTTTCTTCTCTACACTTACTGCAGTAAATTAATTCGTAAAAAGGATTTGTAGCCTCAGTGCATATGCATGGGGGAAGAAAACTCTAATCTCTTTTGAGGAGTTAGGAAAAAGCACAGGTCATATACTAAATTCGTGGCTCCAGAAGAAAGAAGAAAAGAATAAGGACATTTGCTCCTGCTTTAGCAGGAGTCCTTCCAAGGCTAATCTCACTGTGTTCTAGTCATTTGGCAAAACTGAAAGCATCTAATCATAATCAAGTACGCATTTGTTTCTATTCCAGACATTACATATTATTCATTCATTTGTCCCCAACGCCTCATGAAACTAGGAAATGCTATGCCTCTTTCCTTTATAATTCCCTTCAGGTACCCTGCACACCTGATCGTTCGGCACCATATAAAGCCCAACCACTGGTGTAGCTGACATTCCTGGAGACAGAGCAGCTGCGAAGCACCCAGAGGAGGTCAATCTTCTCTGTGTCACCCAGCAGTAGAGCCAGTCAGATCAGAAATTAATCTTGTTTCTATCACCCAGCAGTCCTTCTAGTCAGACCTGAGTGAACTTCCAAAACATTCTTCTTAAAAGGGATTTGATTAGGAAAACAAGGAAGGGAAGCCAACTGATCACTGGAACCACAATAATAATGGCCCCTAGCTATTCTGCTGAACTATCTCTACCCTCAGTGTGGCCACCCTTCGACCTGCCAATCCCATCTCTCTCTGGAGTCAAAGGAAGAGGAGCTGAAATGAGTAGACATAGTTTGGAACCAACTAAAGATGATTTTTCAGTAAAGACAGACTTCGGTTTGCTGCCAAGGAGGAAACATTTATTCACAAACTATAAAGCTTCTCTTACCTGTTTAGTTCTATGCTGAGACTCTGTGGACAGATTATTGTATGTATAATGGGCCTGTGTGATGCCGCAAAACAACACTGCAACCACACCTATAAAGAGAGCAAGTTCCAAGTTCACGTCAAAGGAGACTTCCCAACTTTCATACTGAGGCTTGTATTTTACAGAAGATCATATGCTCAGTGTTGAAATTTCCAGTTGTGACTTAACTTTGTTCAGAGGAACCGCTTCCATTAAACATCTTTCTTATATTCCAAAGCGACAGCCTAAATCCCAATGCTAACAAGTACGTTCAAATGCTAGAGGATGTGCCCCTGTGTAGAAACAATGACTGGCAAAGTCACTCCCTGTGAAGGCTTACGATCAAAAGGAGAAAGGACCCTACCTGTGAAGCCCCATGCTTCAGCCAAGAGGAAGGTACTCCAGGACATCAGGAAGAACAAGCCTGTCTCCAACAGCTGGAACTCCCGTAATTTGGTGAACTTTGTCACGTAAGACTGTCAAGGTTGGTAACAAGATCTTGTAATACACAAGTAAGACTACAAAGAATAATAGTTGAGGCAAGGCAACCATGAAAGGGCAAGAAGGGTTCTCCAATCTCACACAAGTCACAGAATAAGGAAGCGCCAAAGTGAAGGACCTCTTAAAATGAGCGTTGTACTGAGGAGTCAGCAGTCTTTGCTTCCATGAGGAAGTCACACAGTTTTGTCAATTGTTTTATGGGTATCGCATGCCTTGCCAGAAACCACATCATAAAGGACAGAGATGCAAGCAACAGATCAGACACACAACAGGCCACCTCTATTAATCTGCAACCCAAAGCAAGACAGCTTCCCTAATTATAGCAATTTACAATTACTAAGAACATGACATTTCCATGAGATTTCATGTTTATTTGATCCCCTAGCACCTCCGTGATATAGAGCATTCCACGATAAAGAAACCGGGGCATGTCACTCACTTATACGAATCTAAAAAGTATTTGTTAGTCAACCGGGGAAGGGCCCATGCAGACCTGTGACAAATCTCAGGCTGGAATCTCCATCTGCTTCCACAAATGTGTACCACAGCAGAAAGATGAACAAGATAGACTCCCTCCCCTCAAGGACACTGTAATGGGACAGCGATACGATTTGTCCTGGCTCCTCCTTCAGAACCTTTTACCGTCTCTTCGTGCCTCAGTTCACCTGTAAAAAGCCGTAAGACAAGTCTCTTCCAGCACAAGGCTGAAGGAGAGCAAACTTACAGATCCTTGAAAAAATATTTGCGTTTTTCTTTTCTTGAAAGATCTTAAGTCATCTTTATACCCAATGTGGGGCTCGAACTCACAACCCCGAGGTCAAGAGCCACACTCTCTACTGACTGAGCCAGTCAGGTGCTCTCAAAAGTATTTGTTTTATACGAAAATACCTTAGACGTTTTAGAGCTGGGAGCTCTTTAGAGATTATCAAGTCCCACTCATCTTCCCTGCTGTCCCCACCTGCCACCTTCCTACACTGAGGGCCCACAGGTGAAGTGTCAGTGCTCCTACACTGGAAGCTCCAGGAAGGCAGACGCCATGTCTGTCTTGTCCATCTTTGATGCCCAGAGCATTGCATCTGGCATGCAGCAGGCAATCAAGTGTCTTCTGAATGAGCACAAGAATGACTTGCCCAACACTTTTAATAGCAACCTGGTGGCCGTGCCAAGGACTCTAGAACAGAAGGTTAAAACCGTTGAGAGCTGAGATGAACTCCCATCTGTCCAAACCCAGGAAGCTGATTTTGTTCAATTGACATCATGGTCGTACACTTCCTATTTGTCCTATTCAACAAAGAGCAAATGAACAGCAGCGCAGAATACCCAGAGGCTCATTGGAATATATTTACCTTTATATCAATTTCGTCTACAACCTCAAAATTCACTCCCAGAGGGTCACTGCATCTAATCAGACCTGTGTAGTGTAAGTTGGAGAGCATGGAGCCTAATGCAAAACAAGGAAATTCCCTTATTTATTTATCAGTAAAGATGATTACATAATGTTTTCAAACCAAGTCCCTGGTTATAAGGTTAATAATTATAACACAATGGGGGCTCCTGAGTGGCTCACTCGGTTAAGCATCCGACTCTTGGTTTCAGCTCAAGTCATGATCTCATGGGTCCTGGGATCGAGCCGCACATTGGGCTCCTCACTCAGTGGAGAGTCTGCTTGAAGATTCTCTCCCTCTGCCCTTCTCCCCACTCTCACTCTCTCTCTCTGAAATAAATAAATAGGGGCGCCTGGGTGGGGTGGCTCAGTGGGTTAAGCATCTGCCTTCAGCTCAGGTCATAATCTCAGGGCCCTGGAACGGAGCTCTGCATCAGGCCCCTGCTCAGTGGGGAGAGTCTGCTTCTCCCTCTCCCTCTCTGTCTGCCACTGCTCCTGCTTGTGCTCTCTCTCTCTCTCATGCTATCTCTCTGTCAAATAAATCAATAAAATCTTTAAAAAAATAAATCTTAAAAACATAATTGTAACACACTGGCAATTCTGGAACAGGAGAGACCATGGAATACAGGATTCAACCACTTTTTAGGTTAACAAGGAAAGATTAACAAAAGGATATTAAAGCTGTCACCACACCCGTAGCGGCACCCATTGCGAAAGATCCACTGAAGATCCCAAGGAAAATCCCAATAGACTTGAACATGGCTGTGACATCAAAGGTGTGGCTGTTGTCCCCAGCTGGCTGGTATGCCACTATTGAGCTACAAGAGAGAGATTGTTTTTACTTCTAGAAGCAACTTTTATGTTACGAACTATCTAAAAAATAATGAAATAAATAAATAAATACATTCTCTAGGGTAGTAGAGCTTGAAAGATGAAATCAGGGCCGGGGGGAGAGGTGGGGGGGAGAGGGGACAAAAACTTCTGATTTGAATTGCCAAAATAAGGACAAAAGGTTACTAAAACACCCTGTGCTGGATCCAGCTGGCAAGAAAATTCAGCTTTTACTTTAAATGACAATTTCAGGAGATAGAATATTCTAAGGTCTTCTGTGTGAAGTTGTACCGAGCCTTTTTCTCCAGCGTCAAGATACTGTGCCGTACTATTCTTTTATGACTCTGTTCAAGACTTCCTAGCACTGAGTGCCTACAAGCCCTAACATACTAATGTGAACAAACTAATGAAAAATTGCACTTGTTTTCAGCAGAGGCATAAGAATATAAAGAATACTGCTCAATACTCAACCTGGTCACATTTTGTTTTTCCTATGGGAAAAAAAGATGACTGAAGTACCCTTTCAACTTTTAGAATACCAGAATGGGCCCAATGCCTAACATCTATTCACTCACTGAAATAGACTTTTATAGGGAAAAGGGCTTGAAAGTCCATCCAAGGAATTAGAATCCACTTAGCTTACCCAGCTGGATCTCTACCTCAAACTTTTGAAAAGAAAGTCACTCTGCAAGAGGCCAAGACACACAATTACAGGAGACACTCTCTGTCTTGAACTTACAAGTCCAAACCTGGTCCAAAAATGCTTCTTTTTTAAAATAGTCACCCTGGGAAATAGAAGCGGCTGAGAAAATCACTGTCAGCAGGTGTCTGGAGAGAGTGTCTACCATTAGTAAATCAGTTCTCATCTCAGTTAATTGACGTACCAGTGTTTTTATAAAAAGTCCGGACTCAAAGACATCATACAAGTCATGTCAAAGAAAAGAAGGAGAAAAAACACATTCCCAGGAATATAATGCATTCTCCCTGTGGTTACAACAATGTTTTTTAAGGTTCAAGGCTGAAAAATGGGCTTGCATGTACACCAAGTTCTTTTCATACCTCCATAGTTAAGTTAAAAAAATATTATTTTCATAAATATGAAATGGCTTCTAATGTCATGCTATCTTATCTATACATAAAGGGTCCCATCACCATTTATGGTTTTTAAGACCAAAAATGGTCCAAATGGATATAACCATTTGTTTAACCATTTCCCTACTGTCAGACATGTAAAAGTTGCTTCTAATATTTTTGCTACTATAATAAACAGGTGAAAGAGCATATTTGCGCTTTTTCCAAATTTTGGACTATTTCCCTGTGCTACATTCTTGGAAGCTGGGTATTACTATACCTATGGCTCCTTTTACATGTAGTGCAACTGCTTTCAAATTAGACCTATATTACATTTTTGGAGGGAAATAGGACTGTATCTCTCAATTTTTTACTGATCATATCCACTGGCCTAGAAATTCGACTTCTAAAAATCATCATACAGAAAAACTCACAAGGATTCACAGAGATTTGCACATAAATATGTTCACTGCAGTGCCACTCACAATAAAAAATATTAGAAAACATCAAACATTAACCAGTAAGGGATAGGAGAGGTAAATTTGTGGTGTACCATACAATGGGATAATAGAAGTATTAACACAGTAAAATGTCCAAGTGAGAAAAACAAGTTACAGAAGAGTATGTTTAATACTATGCCTTTTTTGTTTAAAAATTATTAATATAGGGGGTGGGGGGGATGGGGTAACTGGATGACAGGCATTAAGGAGGGCACTTGATGGAATGAGCACTGAGTGTTACATGCTTAACGACTGAGCCACCCAGGCGCCCCCTGAGTGTTATATGCAACTGATGAATCACTGAACTCTACCTTTGAAACTAATAATACATATATGTTAATTAATTGAACTTAAATAAAAAATTAAATTTAAAAAATAAAATAAAAATTATCAATATATTTATATGTATGTTAATATCCTAATAGAAAAGCCTAGATGAAAACCTTAATAGTGGTTATTTGAGAGCTGAAATTTCAGGAATTTTCTACTAAGTCAAATACTTTAGATTGTTACAAACATTATTAATTTTATTACCATAAATAATGACAAAAAGGTACCATACAAAGAGTAGACAATACCAACTGCAATGTTGAGAACAATGTACAAGTGATCTTGGTTAAAACACCAGGGTGTCTCAGTTCCGGCACTGTTGGTATTTGGGGCCAGGTAGTTATCTGTTGGGTGGTGGATACTGTCCTGTGTACTGAAGGATATTGAGCAGCGTCCCTGGCCTCCACCCACTAGATGGCATGGAGTAAAGGCAACTGTCTCCGGAGCTAGATATTTGCTTAGTAGGAGTGGGTTGGCAGGATTGAGTCCCTCAGAGGTTCAGACTCATTCTTTCACCTGCAAACACTTTCTAATAACATGTATAGTAACTTCCATAAGTAGACTAAAGTATTGCTCATTTCAATAATTGTCTTAACACTTCTAAAAATTAACAAACATTTCTGTAATGCTTATGTTAAATATGAGAAATACAAATTCAACTACGATGAGATATTGCTCAATCATCAAACTGGCAAAAATGTAAAAGTCTGACAAATATTCTGTTGGGGAAGCTATGAGGAAACAGGCACTCCCATAATTCAGTGCTTAAAGTGCAAAATGGCATAATCTCTTTGACGGGCAATGTAGCAATGTCTACCAAATTACAAATGTATTTATCCATTAACATACTAATCTCACTTCTTCTGGAAAATTATCCTACTAATGTATAAAACAGGTGAGGTCAAGTTAATCACTACAGCATTGTTTGGGATAGCAAAGGACTGAAAACTCTTTTATGCTTCCAGCAATAGGAGACTGATTAAATCAACTTTAACAGTTCATAGTACAGCACATAGGATACTCTGTAGCTGCAAACAAAGAATGAGAAAACTCTCTGCCTCGACATGGAAAGATCTCCAGAATATAGTTATGTGAGAGAAAGTGAGGCACAGAATATATTTAGCATGCTACTTTTAAAATAAGAAATAAGCGGCAAATGAGAATATTTATTCATATGTGTGGTTGCATTTGGATAAAGAAATAGGAGGATACACAAGAAACTAATCAAAATGGTTACATATAAGGGGCTGGGGGGGACAGGTGGATGAAAAGAGGAGTAAAAACATGACTTTTCTATGTTACCTCTCTGTACATTTTTGATTTTTGAACCATGTAAATATATTATCTGTTCCAAAAATTTAATTTAATTAAAAAAGAAAACATGTTCATGTTATAATGTTAAAACAGAATAAAAAATCATATACACGCCACAATCACAACTGTGTAAAAACAGCATGCATAGAAAACAAGAACAAAAGTCAGTGCCCTCGAATCTTTAGAGTAATTGCCTTTAGGTGTGAGAAGGATATACCATTTTTTCTTCCCCACATTTTCGTAAGTATGTATTTCTTTAAGAGGAAAAAAACAATGCCTCAGTCTTTCAAACATCTGCATTCATAATGCACTTCATTCAATAAGCGACTTTCGGTTCCTAGTACCCTAACATTCTAAATACAGAAAATAACAAGAAAACAAACACTTACGAAGACAGCACTATGGCAACAGCATCGTTGAGGACACTCTCCCCAAAAAGAAGTGCATAGAGTTCAACATCCACTTGAAGCTCATGGAATATGGCCAGGACAGTCACTAGCAAATAGAAAGAGGGGAGTATTTAGACATCACGAAGGTAACACAGTCCCCTTCATAGATGATTATGATAGCCTTTAGAAATTCATCTCTTCCTCTTAGGATCCGATCCCAATAAACATTCCCTTACCATATTAAAGATTCAGTATGTTCCCGTTGATACTTCTCTTTTCCCTAATTGTGTACCCGCAATATTTCCTTTAGCTTACAAACAGCTGAAATTAACCCTGGAGGATTGAGCTGACCTATATGTTTCATGCAAATGCTAATCAGCTTGTCTTGCACATTTATTTTCCATAAAGAATATATACAGAACTTCTTACAGACCAGGTGATCATTAATCTGATGAAGAAGGGTATTACGAAAAGCATCTTTTGCTACAAACTTCATTTTCTCCTTGGAGCCTTACAACTCATTTCTATTTGACTTGCAAATTTCAAGCACACTGGTTTAGTTTAGCAAAGACAGTAGGAAATGAAAGCACAAGTTTGGTTTTTGGCTGAGATAAAATTTATGACCAGAATCACAGCTGCTATATTTAACTTAATAAGAAGCCAATGATCAGGCTATTAAAGCCTGAGAAGATTAAAAAAACAAACAAACAAACCCTTCTTCTAGGCAACAATTCCATGAGAATTCTTAGAAAAATCAGATGAGATTGAAGTTGTAATATAACTTTAATTGCTGAGTCACATACAGATCACTCACTAAATAAGCCCAAGCAGACATGAAAGATTCTTATAACCAGAGATTGGAAAGCCCCTTCAAATGCCAACCAACAAAACAGGATACTTGCATTTTAAAAGATGTAGTTTCTACTGCAAAGCATTTCACCTGGACTATACTGACACAAAAGCTTACTGAGAAAAGGAGGGCAAAAGCGGTGCCGAAGAATTTTGCAAAGAAAACCTATGGCTCACCCTTCTAGCAAGTAAACTATTGCAAAATAACAGAATTATTATAGGGGAAAATGCCTATATAACTCAGAAGAAATGTAACTGTCCAACTTAATATGAGCAGAACAGTTTTGCTTGAGCATCCCGGCAATACTTCTACCAACACAAAATCAGAAGGCTGAAGTAACACAGCCAGTCCGATTGACTTAGATTTCTCATAGATGTTGAAAAGTCAAGGACTTTGCTTCTAAGCAAAAGGACGCAGAAAACGGAGACCATTGGCTCCTTGCAAAAACCATCTTATCTTCATACAGATAATGGGAGCAGCTCTAAACAGTAAGGGGGCAGCCTTGATGGTCTTGAAAGGAGCAATTTGATTTTCAGTTTTAAAAATGCTGAACTATACAAATCGCTCTGTAAAATGCCCTCTGAGCTTTATAAAATCATCTCGTATAGAGTAGAGAACATATTTTCCTACTCCCTATATATAATGCCCTGTGTTACCAGAGTTAACAAAGGAATTCAGAGATAACCTTAGGATCCTATGTTTAATTGTGCTGCATGACAATTTAAGAAGATGATTAACTTACAAGAGCAAAAAGTAAAACAGAACAAACCTATGCCAAGGTCCTAAAGCCCAGTGAAAGAAACCTTGCATCCTTAGTTCAAAAACCCCAGTTCCAATGCTAGGTCTTCAGCCTGCATCTTCTCTAAGTTCCTGCATTGAACATAGCTGTGAGGCTCACCAATACTGTATTAGGAAAACTACCACCTAACTCCATAGAATTGTATTCATTCTCCAGCTGTGCTCATATCAGAACTATTTCCAGGGTGCCTGCGTGGCTCAGTTGGTTAAGCATCCAACTCTTGGTTTTGGCTCAGGTCATGGCCTCAGGGTTGTGAGATCAAGCCCCTCATGGGGCTCTGTGCTCAGTGCGGAGTCTGCTTGAGAGTCTCTCTCTCTCTACCCCCACCCCCGGTTGCTTGCATGTGTGCACTCTCTCTCTAAAGCATTCTTTTTTTTTTTTAAGATTTTATTTATTTGAGAGCGAGCGAGCGAGTCAGTGAGACAGCACAAGCAGGAGCACAGGGAAAGGGAGAGGGAGAAGCAGACTCCCCTGCTGAGCAGGGAGTCTGACGGGGGTGTTGGGGGGGTGGGGCTCGATCCCAGAACCCTGGGATCATGACCTGAGCCGAAGGCAGATGCTTACTTAACCCACTGAGCCATCCAGATACCCCAGCTCTCTCTCTCTAAAACAAATAAATAAAACCTTAAAAAACTATTTCATAACCATATAGCTGATTTTATAAAAACAATTCTTTAATGTACAGTAAGGCCCACCAGTGATGCCAAATCACACTAACAGTAGCACAACTGCCTTCTAACAATCATTGAAAAACTGTTTTTCTTATTCTTATATGTGGATAGCTGAATATAAACAGAAGATTTTTAGGGAACTGGTTTTCCAGAAGCATGAAAGGGAGTGTACCATTATTACCCATTTTAACTAATCTAGTTCATATTCTCCAAATACCCAATTACTAAAGATAGACACCAACCTGAATTTCTAAAGAAAAGGCCTTACAGCCGTTGTCTAAACAGCATCAAGCTGAGGACCAGTAATGGGCAAATGTAATAAATAAAATGAAATTAAAAAAAAATGTGTGCTTAAGCCAAAAGGACCTATGAATTTTGTTTTTTTCCTCTACAACTGGAAGTACAGTACTATGGGAATTTATGAATTCTACACCTAAAGGAAGGACTGCACACATGTGCTTTTGCTAGCAAAACACTGTAACTTTAAGCACTGAAGCTCCACTCTCATGGACACATACCTGGGTCAGTTGCTGATACAATGGCACCAAACAGCAGACAGTCTGTAAAGTAAAAATCTCCTGCAAGCTGTCCAGTTACTTTCATCAGTGTGACACAGCCATACATTATTGACCTGGTCAATAAACACATTTCTACTTTAGAAAAAAAACAGCAACTGTTAAAGAAGTCAGAACACAGTAAGAATAAGATGGGTCTACTGTAGTACTTTGTGACTCATCCCAAATTTAACTCGTGTCATTTAAATATGGTAATACCTTGGCCTTAAGGAGAATTCAAACAACTTATTATCTACGTGAACGCATTTCATTGAAAAAGGTCCTTAGACGCACTCAAGAATACAATACTGCATAAATCAAATATGCATTATTTAAAAAGTATAATTTGAAGGATAAAAAGTGTTTTAACCTTCAAGTACTTACCCAATTACAAAACAAGAAATTGCTGTTCCAAGAAAAGCATATGCTAGGATAGACCCAAGGTTTCGAAAGAAATGTCTCTAACAAAAAAGAAAAAAGAAAAAAGTTACAGTGTGTTAGAATACTTACCAATTATTTGAAAAAGAAAAGGTTTTCTATTCTAGTGTGCTTTGCTAATATTAAATGCATTATTCATTAAAGGAAATAAGAAAAAGACTTTTTGTGCAGGCATAAATTTCAGCAAGGAGAGGAGAAGGGAGGGAAAGCTGGAAAGAACTGCCTGTTTCTAAAGTGTCAGACATGACAAAGTCCATGGAGTTTAAAGTTGTTCAAAGTATATGAAATACATAAGCACTTACTCTTTTCAGACTATATCCTGCATAAAATATGATAGGAGGAAGTAATATGTTGAAAAATACTTCCGGATCAAAGGTAACCTGTTAAAATAAAGAGTTCTTTTAGAAGAATTCCCGGAGAAGACCTCGTATTACGTTATCAAATTATGAAAAAGAAAAAAGATTGAATGTTAAACTGGTGAAAGGCAAGAATATTACTGTGGTCACTGAAAAATATTTCATATAGGATAGCTGTTGTTCTATTTCTCAACCAAATGACAAGGAGACAGTGTTGGAGCAATCAGTTAAGTCATATCTATGGAAAGGGTGGTAAAATACTACGACATTAAAAATCTTAAAAACGGGAAAAAGCATGAACATATCTTTGCTTTAAATACAAGAGACACCCCCAAACTGGTAACAAAATTTGGGGGTATGCCATTATTGCTGGCAAGAAGAAACAGACTTCTTACACAGGTCATGCCTCTAAAGGCATGACTATACAGGTCATGCCTATACAGCATAGTGTTACGGTAGGAAATTTCTGAATGACTAAGATTTCTAGTCCTGACAGCCTATTTCTTTTAATATCTATTCCCTATAATAACATAGATGCCCCTTTCTGTTCATAAGGCTGCAGCAGGATCTGACATGAACACAAAGCAGCTACACACATACCCATGTTAAAATTTCGTTTACTAGAACTTTTAAGGAACTGGAATTTTCCACACGTGGAAAGGACTCTCGCTGCAAAGTAAATTAAGCTCGTATGAAATTGTAAAAAGCATTAAAGATGGTCAGAACCACAATCCAAGTAGCTATGAAAGCCAAGCCCTGCCCATGCAGAAGACAGAAGTGGAGGCCCATGGCCAAGGGTGGGCGGCAAACAAGAGACCCGAGCAAAGAGGCCCCGAGAAGCTTCATGGGGGACTATGGCGGGCACAGGAGAAAACAGCTCCAGGAACGTCTGGGGGCCAGTAAGGCTGCGGCACAGCCTCCTATATAAAGCTTTATGCACAGCATGGTACAGTAACTGATCCTCAGAATGAGGCCCCTAAAGTTGTGCCAGATTATGAATCAAAGAAAGATTAAATTGTCCTCCGTATAGGACACAGTCAAAACAAGAAAGAAATAATAATATTCAAAGAAATATTAATGAAATATTTTAGGTATTATCAAATAAACTCAATGTGCCAATAAACTCTAAGGACCATCTGCAAATTGAAAGAAATGCTTATAAATTCTGCTTAAGTCAATACTAGTCACCATTTATTACAATTATAAACATCACAGAATGGAACAAAAAGGATTATAGTACTTAGCCTCAATCAGAAAATGAAATGTACAGATGTCCATTTCTTTAGCATTATATTACACTTGTTAATTGAGATTTTCTCCATTTTAAGAGACTGGTTTTAAACATCATTAAGAATTCATTATTAATTCTTCTCCTGAATCGCTTTGCTGCTAGTTACACACTTCAAAAAAAAATCCAAATATTCCCTTTAATGAAGAACTTACCTTTCTAAGCATTTCATTATCTTGAACGTTATTGAGTTCGTGTGAACTAATCTCTCCTTTAAGTGTATATTCATAAAATTTTCCACTAACATTTACCAATAAGGTAGTTGGGCTTGACTGCACTTCACAGCTCAGGGTCACATTATTTACATCACTTGGAACATGAATGCCATATCGAAGCACAAGGCCCACCAAAAGACCTGGAAATAATAAAAGAACCATATAAGCTCTTCTTTTGGACAAAGACTGCTTCTTGTGTACCCCACACATACCTTTGGATTGCTAACAGAAAAGCTCTTATGATAGTCCCCTGTGGTTCAGAACCAATTTCTAGACCAAATGCAGTTACATTTTAAAGTATTATTATTATTAAGATTTTATTTATTTGACAGAGAGAGACACGGTGAGAGAGGGAACACAAACAGGGGGAGTGGGAGAGGGAAAAGCAGGCTTCCCGCGGAGCAGGGAGCCCGATGAGGGGCTCGATCCCAGGACCCTGGGATCATGACCTGATCCGAAGGCAGACGTTTAACCACTGAGCCACCCAGGTGCCCCCATTTTAAAGTATTATTAAATTTGAAAATCTAAGAGTCTAATATTCATCTAATCCAGTGCGACAAGAGTTTTTGAAAAAACATTCCCTAGGTTACAGCATACATCACTGCATTTCTAGATCAAGATAATAAGTAGGTGATTAGGAATGTAACAAAATAAAAAATATCTTCAAATGATCCGTACACAGAATATGCTCCAAGGTGTCCCAACCAAATGTGTTTACCACCTCCACCTCCATCCATCAGTTCATAAGACTGTTAAACACGCAACACTTCCCAGCACCTGGCTGGCCAAATAATACACATTTAACAAATCGGAATGTCATTTGCATTTGTAGATCGACTGAGTTCTTCTACCACTAAAAGGTCATATTTTAATGCAAAAACACGTGCTTTGGGCCACCTGGGTGGCTCAGTCGGTTGGGCATCTGCTTCGGCTCACGTCATGATCCCCGAGTCTTGCATCGGGCTCCTTGCTCTGTGGGGAGCCTGCTTCTCCCTCTCCCTGCTTGTGCTCTCTTTCTCTCTCTCTCTCTGGCAAATAAATAAATAAAATCTTAAAAAAATTAAAAATATATAAAAATATGTGCTTCAAAATCAAAACATGGAAGTCCTCAGGCCAGCACTATGACATCAACTATTGCTAGAATTGTACGTGGACCATCATATTGATATTTAAATGTGCACAATGTTCTAGGTACTAACACCTATATTGATCAAACTGTTTGATAATGGCTTTAATGAGATGTAATTCACATACCATAAAGTTTACCCTTTTAAGCCATTAAGTGGCTTTTAGTATATTCACAAAGTCATATACTGATCACTACTATCTAATTCCAAAACATTTTCAATGTTCCAAAAAGAAACCCCATACCTATTAGCAGTCACTTTTCACCACACCCCCCAACTCCCAGCCCCTGGCAACCACTAATCTTTTTTCTCTATATATAGATTTGCCTATTCTGGACATTTCATTTAAACAGAATCCTACAATATTTGAATTTTCACGTCTGGCTTTTTTTACACTCAGCATCATATTTTTAAGGTTTATCCCTGTTGTAGCATGTATTAGAACTTCATTCCTTTTCATGGTCAAATAATATTCCACGGTATAGCTATAGCTCAACTGCAAACTGAACTCAAACTTCTGGAAGTTCCCTTAACTCCAAGATGTACCGCATACCACTGTCAGTTACACTTTACCTCCCTGTTTCCTTTCACACTAACCTGCCAGCCGCTCTTTTAATATATGTGACTAGAGTACTACGCTGAGTAGGCCCCCGGGGTTCAGAGATGAAAACAAGGTCCCTCCTTCTCAGCCCAATCAGAGAAAACAGACCAAATAAACAATCATAGTATGGTAGATATGGATACAAGGTGTTATAAAAACAGAAAAGAGTTACCTAACGCAGCCGGGGAAAGCGGGAAGGGGTAGTGGGATGGTAGGGAAGTCTTTCCAGAGGAGTCACCTAAGCAAGGAAACAAAGTAAAAGAAGAGGTTTTCCAGGTAGGAGGTACGGTAGGACACATCCAGTCATGGAAGAGTGGGAAACCACAGGCCATGCAGGGAATCACACGTAGTTCAGTGTGGCTGGGTTATAAGTGACAGAGTTGAGTGTGAACGATCGGCAGGAGCTGAGTCATAAAAGACCTTGCAAGTTGGGGAAGGGGGTTTAGACTCTATCTTGAAAGCAAAAGGAAGTCGTGGAAGGATTATAAATAAACAGTGGCTTGACATCAGATTTCTATTTTAGAAGGACTGGTTGCTCTAGACCACAGTGGTTTGAAGGGGCCAGATAGAAGGCCACTGCAGTCCTTCAGGCACTAAGAGCTGAGGGCTTCATCTAAGAGGGCAGAGAAAGGGATGGAGAGGGATTTTTAGAAGGTATTGTCTTTTAGAAGAATTCGGGGACTGAGTAGACCAGGAGGAAGGGAGGCTGGGAGAAGGACCGCGAGGAGCCAAACTGACTTGGCAACTGCGTGGGTAAGCTGGCCTGAGCAACCAGGTAGGTGGCAGGGCCATTCAGTGAGAAAGGGAACAGGTTCACAGGGGGAAATGTACAGTTCTGTTTCGGACCTGCTGAGTTTGATGTACCTGTGACAACAGGCACAGGTGAGTGTGTGGGATCTGGAGCTCAAGGAAGTAGGGGGTCTCAAGTGGAGATGGCTGAAGTCAGGTGCCTTTGAGATCATCTGGGGAGCAAATAAAATGGGAAGAGGACTATGGATATACGCCCAGAATTTTATCCCAACATTTAATAGCCAATGTAAAGGAGCTGGTAGAGGAGGAGGAGCTGATAAAGGAGTGGAAGGAAGAAAAGTACCAGGAATAGGGAGGAAGAGGAGGAAGTGATGAAAACTAGCCAATGCTGCAGCCAACTCAAGGAACACAGGTGTTAAGAAGGGTCCATCGGGTGTGGGAACGAGGAGCTCACAGGTGACCTTGGTAAGGGCGGTTCCAGTGGAGCAGTGGGGGCAGAAGCCAGGCCATAGTGGGAAGTGATAAATGCGGGAGAGGGGACAAATGTGGGAAGTGGGGAGGGTGCAGAGATGAGGGATTCTCCAGGCAACTTACAGGCACACGTTTTTTAAAGTGAGCAGCAATGAGTAACTGCTAAACAGTACGATGACCTGAAATTTTTAAAAAAGTTTTTAACAAAGTCCCAGATTGAAAATAAATGAAAGAGAAAATATTTGCAAATCATGTATCTGCTAAGGGACTAATATCTAAAATACATATATCTGATAAGGATACAAAATATCCCAAAATACACATAATAGCAAAAAAAAAATCTGATTAAAAAATGGCCAGAAGATCTGAACATTTTTCCATAAAAAATGGCCAGAAGACCTGAACTGGTATTTTTCCAAAGAAGACATAGAGATGGACAATAGGTACATGAAAAGATGCTCAACATCATTAAGCATCAGGGAAATACAAATTAAAACCATGATGAGATCACCTCACACCTGTCAGAATGGCTAAGATCAAAAAGACAAGAACTAAATGTCGGCGAGGCTGTGGAGAAAAGGGAACCCTTGTGCACTGTTGGTGGGAATGCAAACTAGTGCAGCCATTATGGAAAACAGTATGGAGGTTCCTCAAAATATTAAAAAAAAAAAACCTACCATATGATCTAGCAATTCCATTTTTGGGTATTTATCTGAAGTAAACAAAAACACTAACTCAAAAAGATATATGTACCCGCATATTCACTGCAGCATCATCTTAAAATATCCAAGACATGCAAACAACCTGGTGTCCATCAATGAATGAACAAAGAAAATGTGGTGTATATACATGATGGAATATTATTCAGTCATAAAAAGAATGACATCTTGCCATTTGCAACAATATGGCTGGACCTTGAAGGCATTATGCTAAGTGAAATAAGTCATACAGAGAAAGACAAATACCGTATGATCCCTCTTATATGTGGAATCTAAAACAAAACAAAACACCAAGCTCATAGATAACAGAGAACGGACTGGTGGTTGCCAGAGGCAGGGTGTGGGAGGTGGAAGAAATTAGTGAAGACGTATATGTTTATTTAAAAATTTAAAAAATGAAAGATACACTGTGAAAATAGCTAACCTCTAAAAAAACAAAATAAAAAAGGGACGGTTGGGTATTAGCTGGGTTTGATTAAACATAACCTGGGTGAGCAAAGGCTACAGATCCACAGTCATCCTGCCTATATGATACAGAAAGAGCTCTTTCTCTACTATCCCGTAAGACCTCCTAATTAAGGGGCTCAGTAAAAGCCGCCCCCCTTTATATTTATGTGCCAAAAGCTTAGCTAAGCCACTACAGATAATAACAGCAGCACAGATTCTTTCCATGTCCTTAAGGCCGACTGTGTAAGGAACGGTATCTACCAGTTTTGCACTCCGACTCAATGCTGAAATGTCACTGGGTGCCCTGAGGAGGACTCAGCACTTGGACAAATTTGAAACACACACTTTGGCAGTCAAAACTTCAGCAAGGAGAATAATTACTTAGGTTGGAAAAAATTGAGATCCTTTTATTACAGCATCAGACATCTGAAAAATTGGAATTTCTCTGAATAAAGTTGACAGTTCAAGTTAATTTGGGTTCTCTGAAAGGTCAAATCATAATCATAGAGTTAAAGCAATTCTCAGTGAAGAGAAGTACACAAAAAGAGTGCTTTGTTAAGGGGATAAGGAGGAAACTTCCAGCCTCCTACTTAGACAGAGGCACAAAAAAACATTGACATCATGAAATTTAAAATTACCACTAATAGGCAACAAAGAATACAACCTCAAAGAGATATCTTTCACAAAATAGAAAGGTCCCACCTCCCCTACACATCCCTGACCCTCTTGTGCTGGATCCCCTCCCAGGGATAAAGAACTCAGTGTATCACCCAGGGCTCCAACCCTGTATGGGGCTCACGGTCAATGGAAATTGGTTTTCTAAGGGATCTCGGCCCATTCTCCCAGGCTATGACACTAAAAGCCTCTGATAGTCAAAAATATGGAAGGAATATTGCTGGGATATCAACTGTGGTCAAAATTGATAAAATTTCTACAGATTAACAAGTGTATGTATGTACAAAGAGATTTATATACACGTATGTATGTGTGTGTATTATATAACATTTACCTACTTCTTGAAGAAT